ACCTAGGACCACAACACTGGTGGTGACCTCACCTAGGACCACAACACTGGTGGTCTCATCATTCTAGAAAAGGATGAGGATATTCTAAGATATAATTATTTTCTTTAGTTGCAGAAATATTATCTGATTACATCAAACAATAGGCTACATAACATATGTATTTCAAACCCCCAATCCTATACTCTCAAGGTTTCACCTTGGGCCACATCTTATGCCACTGTTCCTTGCACCTGATGACACTTCACCTAGCAGTAAATAGGCACCTGGGGAAAGTCAGTATAGGACTAGGCTCTTAAGAGCCCAGAATCTAGAGGAGCCTCGATCAGACTAACAGACTTTATGTCCTCGACAAAAAAGAAACCATAACATCATGTTTCATCATTATATATCACTTGTAGCCTATGACAAAACGAAAACACTAAATTAAATTTGGGATTTCTGTGGTACACGACAATATTTACTGTGGCAAAGTGTGTTGTGGCGGGAAGGTCTTTTGGCGAACACAGCTCCAATGTCGACTTCATTCTAAACATTCTCATTTCTGAGGGTAGTTTATGATGTCATATTCTTAAAATTATAATTTCTAATGGTAGCCCCAATGCCAAATTATAAAAATCAAAACGTATTTGAGAGTAAGTAGCCTACGATGTCAGATTCCCGTATTAGATACTTCAGGCTTCATGGATCCCGCTGGTACCTTTGGTTAGGCCATTTGAGCGCCCTGCCTGGCTAGCCTACTATTCAGCCATCAGGAAGACTAAGATAATGTTATAATGTGACACCTGAATTTTTTTTAAATATATGTTTTGAACGTATTATTTAGTCTTGCTGGAAACTGGAAACACAATCGAGTCACAACAGTGTCCGAAAAAGGAAGTTTCAGTCCTAAGAGTCGTAAATAAGTGGTATGGACTTTATGAGGATGATGTCGAAGCTAAATCGATACAAAATTTTAAATAAAAATATACTAAAAATGAATGGGGAAGAGTCACTGCATTGTACTAATGATGGGCGAAAGAGCATATGCTCGACCCCCTGCAAGTACAACTATGTGAGTACACACTTACAAAGTCTCGCGGCCGAGTGCATCATCGATTCACAATTCAAGGACCCGGGTTCGATTCCTGCCCGAGACAAAAAATAGGCAGAGTTTCTTTCGTCTGACACACACATACACGAGATCTAGGCGGGATCCAATGCTCTATCCTGCACACACAAATAGGAGAGTGCACACACATTGCTCCACACAACAATAGAAATTTTAACAATACAGCTCATCAATAATCTTCACTAGCCCGATATCTGACACACACACACACACACACACACACACACACACACACACACACACACACACACACACACACACACACACACACACACACAAATACAATGTGTGGTGGAGGCTGTCTCCATACACAATTTCAAATGTAGATAGAGCCCAGTAGGCTCAGGAATCTGTATATCAGTTGATTGACGGTTGAGAGGCGGGACCAAAGAGCCAGAGCTCAACCCCTGCAAGCACAACTAGGTAAGTACACACATAGGAGAATGAGGACATAGACAAGGAACATAGAGAACAGAACATTAAAGATCCACAGTAGCTTTATATAGACAGGAATGAGTATAAAAAGACTGTAAAAGACGAGGAGCCATATGAAAATTACATTTCATCCCAAGGAAAACAAACCCAAGGTTCTCCACAACAACATTAGGAGGAAAATGTTTGTGAATAAACCGGTCATTATAATAAGGAAGACACGGAGAATGAGGAGAAAGATTATGAAGTGGTGAAGGTGAGATTCCCGGATGTTTAGGGTTCGGTTATGGGTTGTCTTTGTCTGGGACAGGAAGCTCTATAGGTCCTCCCAGGCCAACTACCGATGACGTTTCCCAGGGTGCAACCCACAACAGTTGCCTAACTCCTGGCTACCTATTTGTTGCTAGGCGAAAGGATACGTGCCCAAGCGTCTCGGGCCTAACCGGGAATCGAAACCGAGGACCTCTCAGTGGATCTGGAGGAAGTCTACCCAGTGGAAAATCGAGATATTGTTAACGACTAAAGAGATGAGGAGACAGCTGGAGGAACTGGACACGAGGAAGGCTCTGAAGAACAACAGCTCAACAGGAATCGTGTAACAGACAGCTGGGGGTACTGAGCCACCCGTAACACACTTCAACATTTCACTCCAAATGCGTAAACTGACAGATACACTAAACATGTCCCTGTACTCGGAAAATGAAAAAGACAGGATACTGGACTTCAGACGTGTCACTAACAAACATTCCCAATAAGGCACTAGAGAGACTCACAAGAAAAACGTATGCATAACATGAAATTGTCTATGACAATGAGAACGATAGAACAGGACAAAAGAGTTAGCTAACCCTTTATTCCTCGTCATAAAAGGTGTCAATACAAACTGAAGAGCAAAGCTCTACGTTACCCGATATGAGTAACATGTATCAGACAAAGAGTAGGCTGGGCAGGCTGCACATGTTTGAATGGTCAGATAGCTTTGACACGATGTTGGTGACGTCATCTAGGGGGGGGGGGGAGCAGATATAGGTGAGCCTTTCTAAGGCCCCCCACCTCTAGTCAAGTGTGTACTCACCTAGTAGTACTAGTACTCATCTGTATATGTAGATTGTGATGTATCATGATGTATTGTGATGTATTATGATGTATTGTGATGTATTATGATGTATTGTGCTGTATTATGATGTTGTTAATGTTGGTCGGTCGGTTATCCATCCTTCCTTTCGGACAATCAACCCAAAATTCCGTAGAGTGCTTATTTTGACCAGAGCACCCTGGGTGCTTCTGGCACTTGGAGAGGGGCTCAACGTCACACGTTTAGGGGATGCGGCTTCAATACTGACCTCGTTGTCACATGCACACACCCACTCGAGCCGCTGTAACTCCCCAGTCTCTCATTTGGTATGACGTCCTCAATCCCCTTTCTCTTATTATTATTCTGTTCTACCCTGTCCACAGCTGTGGTTCTTTCTCTCTCTCTCTCTTTTCTACTTACTGGGAAGCCTCACTAGGACAAGGGCAAACTCCTAAAACACATATGTATGTCTCTGCAGGTAATCCAGCCTACGGTTGTAACTCTATACTTCAGTATAAGTACTTCTTGGCACAAAAATGGTAATCAATCACCCACCTTTCACTGTGTCTTGCACGCTAATGACAACCAGACACTCTGCCAGCTTCCTACAAGTAGTCAATAAGAACTTCCTTCCCACATCTGGGAGTTCACTACCCTGACGTCTTCAGGTTCTTCCAGGTTTATCTATCAGGATCCTCTGCAGCTCTTCCATGCTGCTGACCATGAAGTTTCCCCGAACCACAATGATGCTCCACCACTGGTATTACAGAAGCGTGTGAAACTTCATTTCACTCCTCTCCTTCGCTCCTCTTCTCACAGCTTGAGGTCCTGCTCCTCACTGTATGGCTGTGCTCTTCCACAGGGTTCAATATCCTATGGCCTTGAAGTTCCACTCATTAACTTTTCCTCTGGCCTCAAGGTACTCCCGTCAACTTTCTCAGAACAAACCTGCAACCCATCCATATGCCAATAAAAAATGTTCGTCTACAAACACATAACTGAAATGAATCACACACAATAAATGTTTCACTTGACATCTCCCTGCTTCCCGAATGTCGTGAGTGTGGACTTCCCCGTTTGGGCTGGTCCATGCTCTGCCCTCCCTGGGAGCCCTCAGCTTCCCGGCCCCGGGCGGCCCTCTCACTCAGTCGCCCACCAACAGTCGGAGTGGGTGGACGTCGCTCCGCCCTCCAGGACGTTCCTCTATCTTTACTCTTTTATTTTGGCGTTCTTCCTCATCAAAACATGTCTAACGTACCAACAGACACTTGTTACGATCGCTGGGTACACGATCAACTATAGGCAATCACTATTAACTAGTTAAATTTGGTCTTACCACAATAAGGTCTCCTGCAGGGCGCTCTTCCTCTCGATGGCGCCTGACCAGGGCTCTCCCACGGCCCACGAAAATATCTCTAGGCGGCTTCACAACTCTTCTTGTCGTTCAAGACTTGATTCCACCGCTGAAACGTCTGCACACTTGCTTCCTCTTGAAGGTATATCAACTGGGGGTTCGTCTCTGACAGGAGCTCACACGGAGCACAGCTTCCCCTCACGATGTCTGGTGCTCAAGTGAGCTCAAGCTCCTTTCAAGCGAGCCTTACACCTCCAGCAAACTCTCCACATCTCATGTCAAGTCATTTACTTTATATCTTGATCACTGCCCATGCTCTTAAACTATTTATCAAATCTAACCAATTATTTTACATATGTATCTCCATGTCTATATTTCTTTGACCTCTTATTTAGGTCAGATCTTGTAGAATAACTCTCAAGGTAGACTCGTTTTCCAGCTACCTGGGATCAAAACACTTGGGTTCGCCATTCTTTAAGGTCTTCACGGTATCTACTCTGGGATTGTGGCTGTGAACACCCGGGTTTGTGGATATGACTTTTGAATCTCTATTGTAACTTCTGCCTACTGATTCTGTGAGGAAATACACGAATTTGTAATCACTGGGAGAGTTGGGTATCTTTAGCGAGTCCTCTCTGTTAGTGGTGTGCAGTGTTTTCATTTTACAGATTAAAGTTTGGAGGGAATGTTAATGCATCTGTTTATGGGCGGTTGGTATGTGCTTAAACTATTTGTTTAACTCTAGTAATTTCAAAGTGATGACAATGGGAACAGAAAGGTAGACATATATAAAATAGGAGCGGAACACCTCCAAGACTCAAACAGAAAAAAAAATTGGAATTTATTTTTTCCAGAAACCTACTTCAAACGGATACAATAATAATTCAACAGCTTGACACAAATTTAAATGACGTCATGGTCTGACTAAACAGCTGGTAAGTTTATTAATAAATTTAAAGTCCTAATCCAAAGAATTTAGCCACACTTTACCACACTACAATAAGTGTACTAAACTTTGACGCCTAATACAGGCTTGGCGCACATGGAGAACTCTGCCCCGGCGGATGTGAAGGAGTCGCCCCACACGTCCCGCGGGGTCATCCCCAACCTGGGTCACCTGCCTGACCTCAACCAGCTCTCTGATGTCATCCGTAACCTGGTGATGGGGAACGTCGTGCACGTCAAGCCCATCCTCAAGCCCAGGAAGATCTGCGTCTACACCTGCGCCGATCTTAAAGGTTGGTTACCTGCTTGATGGGGTTCTTGGAGTTCTTTTATTCCCCAAGCCCGGCCCGAGGCCTGGCTTGACATGTGAGAGTTTGGTCCACCAGGCTGTTTCTTGGAGCGGCCCGCACGCCCGCATACCCACCACAGCCTAGCTGATCCGGAACTTCTCTTAGAAAACAGTCCAGTTCACGGTTGTTCCGGCAATATTTCTATATTATTATTTTAAAGCCACGTGGTGTTTGATTCCTGAATGACTAGTGTCAGAAACATATGGTATGAGTTTAAGGTTAGAAATATTTGGTAAGTGATTAATGTATACAAGGAGAAAAAGGAGATATCCTATTATAGTGCCTTTTGACGCTCCTGTGGATAACGGGAGATTGGGTGATATTACATTACTGATGACTACGGGTTGTGTGTGTTGCTAAGATATGATCGGGTATTGTTTAGAGCGAGACCTCAGAATCTGTTGTTGAAGTTTAATAAGGTTACTGTGCTTTATTGTATAGAGGTTTTTGGCCAGTAAACTGATAACGGTATCATTGGTGTTCATTTTAGATCTGGAGTCGAAGTGGCAGGAACTTGAAATATTCCGTGTAATTTTCGTGTATATATATATATATATATATATATATATATATATATATATATATATATATATATATATATATATATATATATATATATATATATACATATACATATATATGACGGTGTCAGACCATGGAGGAAAATTTAAACAGGAATTTCCTTAAGTACTTTCGTATATTAATACATCTTCAGAAGGATGACTGCTTCTGAAGATGTATTAATATACGAAAGTACTTAAGGAAATTCCTGTTTCAATTTTCCTCCGTGGTCTGACACCGTCATATATATATATATATATATATATATATATATATATATATATATATATATATATATATATATATATATATATATTTTGGTAGCAGTCTTTCCTGTAGACATATTTTATTAAATATGACCGAAAAAGTAAGATTAATAATTCTAACACGAATTTTCTCAATCTTTCGTACATTATGCTTCACTGTTGGAGGTAAATCAAAAATCACTTCTCCAAAATTCATTTTTATTTCTAGTCTGACGCGACACGGGCGCGTTTCGTAAAACTTATTACATTTTCAAAGACTTCACAAATACACAACTGATTAGAACTTGCGTTTCCCTGATTTTATATCTACATTTGAGTGAGGTGGGAAGGGTGATGTGGCATTACATTTGAGTAAGGTGGGAAGGATGATGTGGCATTAGAGGATATTAATAGGGTATTAAAAGTATCAACACAAGACAGAACACGAAACAATGGATATTGAATAGAAGTGTTTGTAGAAAGCCTATTGGTCCATATTTCTTGATGCTTCTATATTGGAGCGGAGTCTTGAGGTGGGTAGAATATAGTTGTGCAATAATTGGCTGTTGATTGCTGGTGTTGACTTCTTGATGTGTAGTGCCTCGCAAACGTCGAGCCGCCTGCTATCGCTGTATCTATCGATGATTTCTGTGTTGTTTACTAGGATTTCTCTGGCGATGGTTTGGTTACCCATAACACTACATGGGTAGTGTTATGGGTAACACTAATTTTGGAGAAGTGATTTTTGATTTACCTCCAACAGTGAAGCATAATGTACGAAAGATTGAGAAAATTCGTGTTAGAATTATTAATCTTACTTTTTCGGTCATATTTAATAAAATATATATATATATATATGTATATATATATATGTCGTACCTAGTAGCCAGAACGCACTTCTCAGCCTACTATGCAAGGCCAGATTTGCCTAATAAGCCAAGTTTTCCTGAATTAATATATTTTCTCTAATTTTGTTCTTATGAAATGATAAAGCTACCCATTTCATTATGTATGAGGTCAATTTTTTGTTATTGGAGATAAAATTAACGTAGATATATGACCGAACCTAACCAACCCTACCTAACCTAACCTAACCTATCTTTATAGGTTAGGTTGGGTTAGGTAGCCGAAAAAGTTAGGTTAGGTTAGGTTAGGTAGGTTAGGTAGTCGAAAAACAATTAATTCATGAAAACTTGGCTTATTAGGCAAATCGGGCCTTGCAAAGTAGGCTGAGAAGTGCGTTCTGGCTACTAGGTACGACATATATATATATATATATATATATATATATATATATATATATATATATATATATATATATATATATATATATATATATATATATGTTGTACCTAGTAGCCAGAACGTCGTACTCTGCCTACTATGTAAGGCCCGATTTGGCTAATAAGCCAAGTTTTGCTGATATATACTTGAAAAATATAGAAAAATACATATTTTTCTCATTTTTTTCTTATGAAATGATCAATCTGGCTATTTCATTATGTATTAGTTAATTTGTTTAAATTTGAGTTGAAACTAACTTAGATATATGACCGAACCTAACCAACCCTACCTAACCTAACCTAGCCTATCTAAACCTAACCTTAAACTAACACAACTACGTCAATACTTTATGTCCCTAATATAATATCAAAATAATAATTAAAATAAACTAATTGTAAGCAATTTATTGAAAATAAAAAAAATCACTCGGCCTAATAGGCAAATCGGGCCTTGCATAGTATGCAAAGAAGTGCGTTCTGGCTACTAGGTACGACATATATATATATATATATAAAGAGTGCTGAACATAAGATTGGTTTACAATTGTTTATGGAAGCTTTATCAACTTTATTAACTTGAGCTATTATTGTTAATTTTGGAAGGTTAGAAAAGATTTGTGACTCAAGAGGATTTTTGGAGAGCAAAGCAGCTCTTATGTATACCACTGTTGGTGTTGACTTCACCAGCGTTACTCACTTTGGTCAAGAGTGTGTTAAAAAAAAATGAATAGTGTTAGGATAAGCTCTGGTGAGATGTGTGACAACATTTTTCTATGCAAATAATCTAAGTTACCGTTTCCAAATCTGTGTCCAAGCTGCCACCATCTCTTGGGAGTTGGATCTCTTTGTTGTGTGACCGTTGTTTGGATTCCAAGATGATAGTGATGGTATTTACAAGTGCTTTTCATGTTTTTTTTTTTTACTTCTTAAACTCTATTTTTCAAAGTAGGATATTTTAGAGCTTATTATTCATCTATTTACTATTTTTTTGTGAATAGGCTAATCCCATATATGTTTTACTTCTCATGTTTCTTGTTCATTGTTTGAAATATGTCATTTGTGAGCGATTGGTCGTTAAATTTTCTGACAGCTATTTATTTTGGCGAGGAGAAAACGTGTTTTAATATAAACTAAATTATATTTTTATTGTCCAATATTATCAATGATTTGATAAATGGATTGCAGCATTGCAATCAACCCAATGCAGTAGTACAGTGTATTGATCGCCCATCCTGCATAAGCCCTCACTAAAACCTGAACAATATTGTAATCGACAGTTTTATGCAGCAAAGTAATCTTTGAGTTTCATCCCTAAATTACCAAGTCTCCTCCGTTCTCTTGGTTGTTGTTGTTTAAGATTCGCTACTTGGAACCAAAAGTTCCCAGTAGCACGGGCTATGGTGAGCCCGTAGTGGACTTACCTGGCACAGGAGAGGGGCTGTAACTGTTCTCTTGGTGTTCAGACACGATAATGGAGCGGTCGGCCTTGATGCAGCACGTGTACCCGAAGCTTCGCCTATACTGCATGGAGAAGGGCTACGAGCTCAACATCGTCGACCTACACTGGGGGATACCTGACGAACGCCTCGATGACCACTCCTTCAAGGAACTCTGTCTCGGACACCTCACAAGTGAGGCTCATTCGTTGTATTTGCAACAATATTTGCAATATTGGAATATTTGCACTTCGTGCTGAAGGTAGGTAAGGTAATTATCAAGAGAAAGCACTAAGCTATTACGACTACATAACACTTGTATTAGCTGGAGGCAGTTGTTATTACTCCTGAAGTAACATTCACAGGTTACTTTTAAACTTTAATACAGTGAACGATGCACTAAAGAAGTTGCAAATTATATTTTGATATATAAAACGTAGTGTGAATACCTTTGTATGAAATAAAGCGCTTTTTTACTGAAGTTCTGTGTGATGAAGTATTGGTTAGCATGAAGACTGTTGCGCGTGTGTCGCCCCCCAGGCCAGGCCCGGGACTTCCACGTGGTGACTCTGGTCTTCCTCAACGAGACCCTCGGCAACGCTCTCCTGCCGCGGGTGATCGACGCTCCGGACTTCGACCAAGCCGTCTCCGCCGTGGAGCTGGACACTGACAGAGACCTTTTCAGGAAGTGGTACCACTGGGACGCGAGCGCTCACCCTCCCTGCTACAAGCTCCAGCCCATCACTTCCGCCATTCCTGACATCAAGGTCGACCCTTCTTCATCCCCCCCTTTCAAACACACACACACACACACACACACACACACACACACGCACACGCACGCACGCAAGCACGCACACATACGTTACTCTTTTACATTTCACAACTACTACTTATCAATTAAAAATATAGCCCATTGATATTACTGCTTGAAACCTTTGTTTATAAATAATATTGAAGCTGTGTCGTCATAATTTAGAAAGTCATATTAATGCAAACATCTCGTTGTTTCCTATAGTTTCTTGTGTTATTTCTACTTAAGAAAATCAATTACATATTTTGTTTCATAAGAATTATTTTGCTATATCAAAATCAAACGTAATGATGAGTACATGTAATAAGCTTGTTTCATGAGGGTGTGTGGACGAACTTCATCATATTTAGGATGAAGTGTGACCCGGGCCACCATCTCCTCCCTCCTACAGGACGCCAGCAGCAGCAGGTGGGTGGTGGTGGTGTAGGAGGGTAGTGGTGTAGGTGGGTGGTGGTGGTGGTGTAGGAGGGTAGTGGTGTAGGTGGGTGGTGGTGGTGGTGCAGGTGGGTGGTGGTGGTGTAGGTGGGTAGTGGTGGTGCAGGTGGGTGGTGGTGGTGTAGGAGGGTAGTGGTGTAGGTGGGTGGTGGTGGTGGTGCAGGTGGGTGGTGGTGGTGGTGCAGGTGGGTGGTGGTGGTGTAGGAGGGTAGTGGTGTAGGTGGGTGGTGGTGGTGGTGCAGGTGGGTGGTGGTGGTGGTGCAGGTGGGTGGTGGTGGTGCAGGTGGGTGGTGGTGGTGGTGCAGGTGGGTGGTGGTGGTGTAGGAGGGTAGTGGTGTAGGTGGGTGGTGGTGGTGCAGGTGGGTGGTGGTGGTGGTGCAGGTGGGTGGTGGTGGTGGTGGAGGTGGGTAGTGGTGTAGGTGGGTGGTGGTGGTGCAGGTGGGTGGTGGTGGTGGTGCAGGTGGGTGGTGGTGGTGGTGGTGGTGGGTGGTGGTGGTGGTGGTGGTGGGTGGTGGTGGTGGTGGGTGGTGGTGTAGGTGGGTGGTGGTGCAGGTGGGTGGTGGTGGTGTAGGAGGGTAGTGGTGTAGGTGGGTGGTGGTGGTGCAGGTGGGTGGTGGTGGTGGTGCAGGTGGGTGGTGGTGGTGGGTGGGTGGTGGTGGTGGTGCAGGTGGGTGGTGGTGGTGGGGGTGGGTAGTGGTGTAGGTGGGTGGTGGTGGTGCAGGTGGGTGGTGGTGGTGGTGCAGGTGGGTGGTGGTGGTGCAGGTGGGTGGTGGGTGGTGGGTGGTGCAGGTGGGTGGTGGTGGTGTAGGAGGGTAGTGGTGTAGGTGGGTGGTGGTGGTGGTGGTGGGTAGTGGTGTGTAGGGGGTGGTGGTGGTGCAGGTGGGTGGTGGTGGTGTAGGTGGGTGTGGTGGGTGGGTGGTGGTGGTGCAGGTGGGTGGTGGTGGTGGTGCAGGTGGTGGTGGTGGTGGTGCAGGTGGGTGGTGGTGGTGGTGGTGGTGTGGTGGTGTAGGTGGGTGGTGGTGGTGCAGGTGGGTGGTGGTAGTGGTGCAGGTGGGTGGTGTAGGTGGGTGGTGGTGGTGGTGCAGTTGGGTGGTGGTGGTGCAGGTGGTGGTGGTGGTGGTGGTGGTGGGGTAGTGGTGTAGGTGGGTGGTGGTGGTGCAGTTGGGTGGTGGTGGTGTAGGTGGGTGGTGGTGGTGCAGGTGGGTGGTGGTGGTGCTGGTGGGTGGTGGTGGTGCAGGTAGGTAGTGGTGGTGCAGGTGGGTGGTGGTAGTGCAGGTGGGTGGTGGTGGTGCTGGTGGGTGGTGGTGGTGCAGGTGGGTGGTGGTGGTGCAGGTGGGTGGTGGTGGTGCTGGTAGGTGGTGGTGGTGTAGGTGGGTGGTGGTGGTGTAGGTGGGTGGTGGTGGTGCAGGTGGGTGGTGGTGGTGTAGGTGGGTGGTGGTGGTGCTGGTGGGTGGTGGTGGTGCTGGTGGGTGGTGGTGGTGTAGGTGGGTGGTGGTGGTGTAGGTGGGTGGTGGTGGTGCTGGTGGGTGGTGGTGGTGGTGCAGGTGGGTGGTGGTGGTGCAGGTGGGTGGTGGTGGTGCAGGTGGGTGGTGGTGGTGTAGGTGGGTGGTGGTGCAGGTGGGTGGTGGTGGTGCTGGTGGGTGGTGGTGGTGCAGGTGGGTGGTGGTGGTGCAGGTGGGTGGTGGTGGTGTAGGTGGGTGGTGGTGGTGCAGGTGGGTGGTGGTGGTGCTGGTGGGTGGTGGTGGTGCAGGTGGGTGGTGGTGGTGTAGGTGGGTGGTGGTGCAGGTGGGTGGTGGTGGTGTAGGTGAGTGGTGGTGCAGGTGGGTAGTGGTGGTGCAGGTGGGTGGTGGTGACTGAGGTAGCTAGGATGCGGCTGGTATTTCCCTCCCATATGCTGCGTGAATCTCATGTGTCTTGTGAACTAACATTGCTCCTCGCCGCTGCCGGTGGCCGCAGGAGATCAAGCAGAGCATCTTCATGAACCAGGAGAGCGCCAAGCACGGCCTCTGGATCTGCCGCAAGTTCACGCACTTCCCCTCACACAACATCCCGGCCCAGGGCAAGGTCTACGTGTGCGTCGAACCGGAGAGCAAGAAGCGTCTCGAGATCCTTCAGAGCGAGCTGAAGGTGAGTACAGGATGAGCCTCAAGTCATATATATTGATGTACATGTGACTAGCGCCGCCGGCCGCGTCTCCAACACCTGGCTAATGACACGTATACCTCCCGCCGCTGCAGGAGCGGCTGGACGAGATCAGGATGCTCAAGTTTCGCGTCAAGTGGCACAACTCCGGCATGAACTCTGAGGTCCCGGAACACGCCCAGTTCGTGGAGGACCTGTGTGCGCAGGTCTCCCCGCTCCTCATCTCCATCATCGACAGCATCATAGAGGAGGACGAGTCTAAGGTAAGTCACAATGGGATCTCGTATCGCTAAGACATATGGGACACCTGAGGCGTTCCCAGCGGTGGTCGGGTGACTGAGGCCACATCGTCAGCATTGTGACCATTTACACTACACACACGCCCAAGCCCAGCCTCCTGTCCTGGCAGTACTTATAGTAAAGATGAACACCATCGTACATACACTGACGTAAAAGGCAATTAGAAAGTAGAAATCGGTACTAATGAATTTGAACAAACCGCAAAAGTTTATGCCCTGGAAACACAAACCGAAACTGTCTCTATTTTCCGCTTGTTACAGCTTGTAATAAAGTTGGTACATCTTGGCTGAACATGTTTATGACGTATTAGAACGTTGTTACTGTTACCTATCGTTCGTTACGGCTCGTGACCCTACAGCAGCCAAACTTTAATTACGTCTAGGGATACCACTGCTGCTCTCTAAAGCGCGTCACCAGTATAACCCCTTGATAAGTAATGAGCACATAAATAAAACTCTTCCTTTTGGACTGAAGAATAGATACAAAATAGTATATAGATATATATTCAAGACAGTATAATATAAAAACACAGATGGTTAAGTTAACTTATACAATAAATGAAAGTATTGTCATATCACTAAATATAACAAATAAAATATGGCACAAAATGAATGTAAAGACTTATCTCCCACATGTTACTCTCCTGGTCCCGTATCAGCTACTGAACTCACGCTCTGTCGCTACCCACATTCTCACCTCCCGTCTGCCTCATCCCAGGATGAGGGATGGAAACTAAGGACTTTTTAATATTTAAAACTAATTGAACAACCACTTGTTCTCAAAACACACAAGAATGCAAATTACAGATAATAGTTACTTACAAAATATATAAGTATAATGCCACCTGTTTAATTACAGAATATAAACAATTATATATACTAAATAAAAGTGACATCTGGAACTTCCAAACTGAACAGGTCCAGCTTCCCGAATCAATCAGGTACTAGACGTGTGCAACGCAACCCCGCTCCTGTCTCCACTAACGCTGCCACACCATACGACAATTTACAAAACACAATGTGTGTACATATACAAGCAATGATATAATAAAATAAAACCAGTTATTTTAAATTTATATACGTATTCTGCTAGGAGTACGTAACAGTTACAACTTGCTATATTGGTTGTTATAACTGGTTAGGAGGTGTTAAAACTTGTTCGAACGTTGTACCAACGTCGTAGTTTCGGTGTGTGTTTGGCGGGAATGTTCTGATGTTGATATTTGTGTATTTGATGTTGCAAAGAAAATGTAACCTAACCGTTCTAGGCCTAATACACGCTGGTGCAGTACATATACGTGCTGTAATAGGCCGAGGAATATATAAGTTTGGTGTTTTCTCCGTCCTTGGTAATCACTCTTTTCTGGACTATAAAGTGAACAGTACCAAATTCTACTCTCTAATTGTCCATTACGTCTATATAGGTACGAAGCTGCACATTGTTACAGTAAGTGCTATCTATACAGGAGGATGAGGAACACTGTATTTATCTTCAGTAAATAGTCTTCATGTAAGCAAGCGTCACCACTACCCAGGCTCCGCTGGTACTGTGTTCCCCATCTACACCCTTCCCTACCCTTCACCACCTTCCTTACCCTTCATTACCCTCCCTACCCTTCATTACCCTCCCTACCTTCACCACCTTCCTTACCCTCCCTACCCTTCATTACCCTCCCTACCCTTCACCACCTTCCTTACCCTTCATTACCCTCCCTACCCTTCATTACCCTCCCTACCCTTCATTACCCTCCCTACCCTTCATTACCCTCCCTACCCTTCACCACCTTCCTTACCCTTCATTACCCTCCCTACCCTTCACCATCACGTGGGCATGTTGCCCTTGTGATGACTTTGAGTACTCTAAAAATTTCTTTGACCTAAGTACCGAGAGTGATGACCAGAGACACAGAACAGCGTATGAGTTATGACCAGAGACACAGAACAGCGTATGAGTTATTACCAGAGACACAGAACAGCGTATGAGTTATGACCAGACACACAGAACAGCGTATGAGTGATGACCAGACACACAGAACCAGAGACACAGAACAGCGTATGAGTGATGACCAGACACACAGAACAGTATGAGTGATGACAGCGTATGAGTGATGACCAGACACACAGAACAGCGTATGAGTGATGACCAGACACACAGAACAGCGTATGAGTGATGACCAGAGACACAGAACAGCGTATGAGTGATGACCAGACACACAGAACAGCGTATGAGTGATGACCAGACACACAGAACAGCGTATGAGTGATGACCAGAGATACAGAACAGCGTATGAGTGATGACCAGACACACAGAACAGCGTATGAGTGACTCAAACGAACAAAACTCATTTTCTTGGAGAGAATCTAATCATTATTTACACGACCTGCTGTCTGCTGCAGGAGGAGCTCAAGACGTACCTGGGAATCGAGAAGCGACTGTTTCACGAACTGATGCAGCACTCCCTCATGTGCCAGGTCCGCTACGGGAACTTCCAGGGCCGCCAGGAGCTCCTCACCCAGATCAGGAGGTGAGGCCCCCGCCACCTACACCCGATACTATCAACACCTATAACAACAACAACACTTTTGTAGCTTCCTCACAGTTGTCACTTAGCTGAATGAACTGTGAGGTTCAGTTCCTGGACCCTTTAATGTGCCTCTGTAACCCTTTCCCACCCCCAGCTCACGGGAGGGTGTGGTACGTGGTACTGAGCAGGTACACAGTGAGGTACTGAGCAGGTACAAAGTGGTGTACAATAATCTGTGTTGCAGGTACCTGATCAGCGACTCACGAGTGCCGCTCATCATCCACGGAGAGGCCGGGTGCGGGAAGTCGTCTCTGATCGCCAAGGCCGCAGAGAGGTGCTCTGAGTGGCTGGTCGACGTCCCGCTCGTCGTCAGGTGAGTCCCATCATCCCGCCCCTCCCCCAGAACCCCTCAGAACCCCCAAAACCCCCTCAGAACCCCCCAGAATCCCCCAGAACCCCTCAGAACCCCCCAAAACCCCTCAGAACCCCCCAGAACCCCGCAGAACCCCCCAGAATCCCCCAGAACCCCCCAGAACCCCCCTCAGAACCCCCCCCCCCAGAACCCCTCAGAACCCCCAGAACCCCTCAGAACCCCCCAGAACCCCCCAGAACCCCCAGAACCCCTCAGAACCCTCAGAACCCCCAGAACCCCTCAGAACCCCTCAGAACCCCCCAGAACCCCTCAGAACCCCCATCACTTCTTATTACTAGGTATTAATCGCGGCACTAAGGGCCAGAACGGCGATAGAGGGCGTGCCAAGTGGCTCTCTCTCTATACCTGGAGGTGGAATGGCACTATCTAGACGATCTATTTTGATCTTGTTATGAAAAGGGGGAGAATCTGCTATCAGAAAAGTGGGGTGGAACTATCCTTCATAAATTAAGAAGGGTCTTTATTCACAGGTATAAAAATAAACGATACTATTTTTTGGTTTCAGATGGAAACCATCTTTGAAACTTTCCATCTTTCGGTTGAAAGACGGTTTCCATCTTTCAGATGGAAACCGTCTCTGCCCGAAACGCTGCGCGTGCTAGTGGCTTTACAAGACTGTAATTACCATAATTGTATCCTCACATTCCTTATGTACATTCTTGTATATGCATAAATAAATAAATAAATAAATGGATTTCATAAATGTTTTCACGGTGTATTCGTGTACCGGTCGGTAGTCTTGGCCACAAATAGGATCTTCGAGAGCATTTTTTTTCGTTTATGTTTGGGTTGTTGTGGTTAATGTGGCTAAGCTCGGTTATATTAAATATGTAAACAACTCTTTCTCATGTTATATATTTTCAGGTGGTTGTAAGAATGGTGGTTGTATTGGTGATTGTCAATGGTGGTGATTGTACTTGTAAGGAGTGGTGGTTATGTGCTTGTAAGGGATGATGGCTGGAGCGGTGATTGTGACTGTAGGGGTATGATTGTAGCGGTGCTGGTAGCGGACACAGCGGTGATGGTAGCGGACACAGCGGTGATGGTAGCGGACACAGCGGTGATGGTAGCGGACACAGCGGTGATGGTAGCGGACACAGCGGTGATGGTAGCGGACACATCGGTGATGGTAGCGGACACATCGGTGATGGTAGCGGACACAGCGGTGATGGTAGCGGACACAGTGGTGATGGTAGCGGACACAGCGGTGATGGTAGCGGACACAGTGGTGATGGTAGCGGACATAGTGGTGATGACATAAGAGAGTGGTGAAGGGGGGGGGGGGGGGAGAGACGAAGAGATCAGGTAGCTCTACAAACCTCCCCGCTCTCTCACTAACATAATATCTGGTCACACTCTCAAGTGAGGAGTCATAATTAATTTTCTCAAGTGTCAACACTTGAGCGGAACCCATAAACTTGGTGCAGCCATTCTGTGAATCAGGACCTTGTGCTGGAGCAGTGGGTCATGTGCAAGGTCACTTGGTCAGTGAGGTCACTCACCTATTTGTGTCTGCAGAATCGAGCGTTGGGTCTTGGATCCCGCCGGTTGTTTAAAGCAATGACTCCTGTACTCCTCTATCATACCTCGCTTTAAAGGTATGAATAGTGTTTGCTTCCATAATGTGGTCCTTCAGTTCATTTCATTTCCCCACTACTCTCATGCTAAAATAATTTTTTTTTTAACATCTATGACTCATCTGAATTTCCAGCTTTTAATCATGTCCCCTTGTTCTGTTGGTATTCCGAGTGAACATTTCGTCTATTTCCACTGGCAATCCCCTAAGTATTTTGTATGCTGCTATCATATCTCCCCGCTCCCTCCATTTTTCTAACGTCGTCAAGTTCGGTTTCTTCAGTCGCTCTTCATATCCCATCCCGTGCAACTCCGGGACGAGCCTCGTTGCAAATTTGTTTAACCTTTTCCAGTTTTCTAATGTGTTTTTTTTAGGTGGGGGCTCCATGATGGGGCTGCATACTCTAAGACTGGTCTCACGTAGGCAGTGTAAAGCGCTCTGAATACCTCCTTACTTAGAGCTCCGTCCTCACACACACACCGCCAAAGATTAAGGCAGCGTCTGGGATGCTCCCGGACGTAGGTTCGAATCCTCGTCATGGTCCTTGTGGATTTGTTCCTCCTTACTTAGGTTTCTGAATGACGTTCTAAATTTTGCTAGCGTGATGAGTAAACCACACACCAGAAGATGAGGAGACGACGACGTTTCGGTCAGTACACAATGACTATCGGCTGGATATTGGTCCAGGACGGACCGAAACGTCGTCGTCTCGTCATCTTCTAGTGTGTGGTGGGGTGTGGTCATCATATCTTCAACAAAGTTACTGTGACTCATCGTCTGCTTGTGCTAACGTAGAGTACGCTGCTGTCGTTATCCGATTTATATGTGCCTCAGGAGTTAGATTTGGTGTTACGTCACTCCCAGGTCCCTTTCTCGAATCGTCACAGGAAGGTAGTTTCCCTTCATTGTGTACTTACCCTTTAGTCTCCTGCCACCTAGTCCCATCTCCATAACTTTAAATTCCATAACTGTGTGTGTGTGTGTGTGTAGAGGAAGCCATGGTGTGTAGTGTAGTAAGCTGACGGGTGTACCTGCAGATTGGTGGGTGTGACGCCGGGGTCGTCGACGACAGAGCAGGTCCTGCGCTCCATCGCCGAGCACTGCTGCGCCCTCTTCGGCGACCACCGCGCCCAGGCGGCCAAGGTCAGCACCACCTCCCCCGACCTCACACGGAAATGAATAAGGTCTTCTTGATAGCAATTTATGTTAGAATGTGGATTAATCTGAGATTAATCTTTTTTTATATCGGCAAATTAAAAATTAATAAAACTAATTATTTTACAAGATTCTTCTTTGAATATTAGAATTACTTTCGTAGGAAAGCCTAAACTATAAAAAAGGCGATGTAACCTGTATATTAGAATTTTATATTAAATGAGTTTTGATTCTGATATCAAAGGGTGAGGTCAGTCGGGTTCGGTTTCTACTCACAATCAGGCATTCCGGGTTCGAATCCGGGGCGGCACAGAAATGGTTGGGCGCGTTTCCTATCGCCTAATGCCTCTGTCCACCTAGCAGTAAATAGGCACTCAGGAGTTATTCAGCTTGTTGCAGGGGTTGCATTCTGGGGGAGGATCAGTAATTCGACCATAAAGGGGGGGGGACGCCTCGATATAAGCCTAACATGTATATACACTCACTGGCTGCCTGTCCCCCGGCACATTGAATTATTATTATTATTATTATTATTATTATTATTATTATTATTATTATTATTATTATTATTATTGTTAAGATCTAAAATTTAAATAGTTAATATTCATTTTATTGTTTTATCATTGAGAGAAAATGTAATGGAAACATTAGTAACGAGAAAATTATCAATTGTAGCATCCAACTAATTCTTTACGTTCTTGTGTTCTGGGCTGGAGTGGTCACATAGTCACCAGGTGTTTCTTCCTGTTAGGCAATATTAAACAGAGATATATATGTCAGTTCTTAAACAAAGACATGGGATTTATATTTTAAACTCAATTCGCGTGGTTTTCTCTAGATGTAAACCTCGACTGATGTTGCAGTGTGATCCTGTGTTCCTTTAGATATCAAATGGCATTTGTTAACAAATGTCTTATATCTTGACTGATATTGAAAAGTATTTCTTTCACTTATCCCATAATCACATAAAATCTTAAAACTTGTGCAGATATTTGAACAATAACGATATTATATTATAAATGTATTTTTAATCGTGTTTAATTACACGAGATTATAACATATTCAGCGTATAATTTGTGTAGAATAATACGTTACAAAATGTTACTTGTGACGGGATGACGGTGTGTGCGCAGGGCGTGCGTCACATGGCCGCCTTCCTGACGCACGTGTGGTCGAAGGCGTGCAAGCTGCGTCCCCTGGTCATCATGCTCGACGGCCTCGACCACGTCAAGGGATATGGGTCGACCTCGCTGGAGTGGGTGCCCAGTGAGCTGCCGGAGCACGTCAAGCTCATCATGACGGTGAGGGACGAGTCCCCGCACATGTCCCTCCTACAGAGCCGCGGCGAAGACCACGTCTGCTTCCTGAAGGTAACGCGCCGCTTTCCGCCTTCACAGTATGTCAGCGTCACGCCCTCTAAGATTTCATGAAATTTATGTTTAATATTCCCATGCAATATATATATACAACACATATTATACTTCGCATGTTGATCATTGCCATGTAATAGGAAATTTGGATCATTACAGCTAACCTGAAGTATTGGCTTGAGGTACTACGTGATATTTGATTGATCACAGATGCATATGAGAATGTTTAGTGGACCAAACTGTTATAATTCATTTTGGAACGCCAATATTATTATTGACAATGCGGGGGAAGTAGCATCGTTCACAGAAACATATTGATGCTTGTAAAGTCAAGCTGACTTATTATAGAATCGTTGGTGATTCTTACAGGTCTTAAGACAAACTGCCAAGAGCTAAGTATAGTTGGGGAGGAAGGAGTAAAGGCGCTTATTCTTATGTTTCTCAAATATTTAGATATTGTGCTCAAGTTTAATATTTGATAATGAGAGTGTGATCTTATTTATATAGACTGGAGTTACTCTGGCTTGTTTAAGAGCACCAGGGAAGGCTGGGAGTTCTTGTGAACATGACCATGAGGTTCCTTACACATGCTCGCAGTAATATCCATCAGGTGGGCGAACTTGGCTACTTGGACGAGCACAAGTACGAGTGAGAGAAACTTAATTCTCAGCCATGAAGTGGACATGCTGGGGGGTGAAGAAAGAGTGCTCAGTAACTACGAGGAGGCAGGTGCTGACCCTAGCAAGCCTGGCAGCCAAGAGACTTACGGCACTAATTAAATGTATCTTAAGCAAACATGTCTGCTCCCTTGCACGATCTCCCCACTTCCCCACCACCATCTTCCCGCTCAAGCACTTGTGCTGGACGGTAGAACGACGGTCTCGCTTCATGCAAGTCGGCGTTCAATCCCCGAAAATCCAAGTTTTTGGGCACCATTGCTTCCCCCCCCCCCATCCCGTCCTAAATCCTTATCCTGACCCCTTCCAAGTGCTATATACTCGTAATGGCTTGGGGCTTTCTCCCTTCCCTTCCCAACAGCTTAATTAGCCCGTCCTTTTTCTGACTCGCGGACAAGGCAGAGAGCCGTCCAGTCTTCAGCACCAGAAATTTAATGGCCTTACGCTCATGTACCAGGGTAGTGGTCTTAATTGGCTCCCCACCTGTCCCATCTTAACTAGGTAACTAGAAGACGGCAAGTACTGCAAAGACGCTTAGTCAGCATCAGCTTCAATCTGGATGAGTTTTCCTCAAGAGCATCACTCCATCAGCGATCCTTCGTGCATAGTGTCACTTGTGTCTGGTATATATGTTCTGTCAGCAAGTACATATTTGAGAAATGAAATCTAATAACTATACGCATGGCTCCATCTTCACCCCGGTTCTTTTATGAAAGTTGTCCACCAAATAACAGAGAGAGAGAGAGAGAGAGAGAGAGAGAGAGAGAGAGAGAGAGAGAGAGAGAGAGAGAGAGAGAGAGAGAGAGCGAGGTATGAGAGAGAGGTATATGAAAGAGGGGAATGAGAGGTATAGTCTCGGGTAGTGAGAGAGGAACATGTGCACAGGTGCCGCCGCTCACCGTCGACGAAGGGTACAGCAAGTTTGAGGGACTCGTGAAGCAGCACCACCGTAGCGTCAGCAAGGAACAGAGGGAACTGGTCAGCAAGCACATCCAGGAGTGTCCACTCCCACTCTATGTTCAGGCAAGTAACACACACACGCACGCACGCACGCACGCACGCACGCACGCACGCACGCACGCACGCACGCACGCACACACACACACACACACACACACACACACACACACACACACACACACACACACACACGCGCGCGCGCGCGCACAGTATCGCACAGAAGTTCGGCCCCAGCATGGAGCCCGTACTTTGTCAAGCACAAGACCATGCTTGAAAAAGTTCAGAGGTATGCCACTAGGCTAGTCCCAGAACTAAGAGGCATGAGTTACGAAGACAGGCTGCGTGAAAAGTACCTCACGACACTGGAAGACAGAAGAGTAAGGGGAGACATGATCACTACCTACAAAATTCTCAGAGGAATTGACAAGGTAGATAAAGATAAGCCGGTCAACACGGGTGGTTCGCGAATAAGGGGACACAGGTGGAAACTGAGTACCTAGATGAGCCACAGGGACGTTAGAAAGAACTTTTTTAGTGTCAGAGTAGTTAACAAATGGAATGCATTAGGCAGTGATGTGGTGGAGGCTGACTCCATACACAGTTTCAAATGTAGATATGACAGAGCCCAGTAGGCTCAGGAACCTATATACCAGTTGATTGACAGTTGAGAGACGGGACCAAAGAGCCAGAGCTCAACCCCCACAAGCACAACCAGGTGAGTACACACACACCATGGATGTGGGGAGGGGGGGGGGTGGAGTGCCAAGCCATTACGACTATATAGCACTTGGAAGGGGGTGTCAGGATAAGGATTTGGGAAGGGACGGGGGGAAAGAAATGGTGTCCAATATCTTGGACGGTCGGGAATTGAACGGCGACCTGCATGAAGAGAGATCGTCGCTTTACCGTCCAGCCCAAGTGGTTGGTCACTGTGAGGAAGAGAGAGATATTTGACATGATAGGCCCCAAAAGGATCGAGGGAACACTCAAATAATTACACATACGCGTTTTAAAGTAACCCGTCCCCTCCCCCCCCCCCCTAATACAACGTCGCATTTTGACGTATACTCTATATAAGACCAAAAATTGTCGTACTTGGGAAATGGTAGCGGCTCGCACAACTGACATCCTGTCCCGTTTTCTGTTTTGGGTCCTCTGGTAGGTTAGGATAAGGGCACTTTTCTACGACAGTTTCTTGACGTTGGGAAAGCGTAAGAGGACGGACTGTTTAAAGACAGCTTCAGGATATTGATGTAGTAGAAGACTCTAGTGAAGCGGTGAAGGAAGACTCAAGACTCAGACATACAAATATGCTGTTAACAAGACTAAACATTTACTGTTGTGATGTTTGTGTTTTTGTGTACTTTTTTATTCCTATATGATTTAATATGAACATAAATGGTTAGGGTCCTGATGTTGAACTGTTGTCACATACTGATCCGAGGGAATGTTTTCATTGTGAACATTATAAGTAAGAAGAAAAAACACTGAAGTAACAAGAGATATATACACCGAGAGGTGTATATATCTCTTGTATATATACACTGAGAGTATACTTTAGTCCTGGACCATGTTAAGGACTAAAGTAAACTGGCTGACTGGTCAGTAAGCACTTGTGATGACATTAATTACCCATCACCAAACTAAAACAGAAGTGGGAGAACTAATGTTGACGTGGTGTCATGGTCAGGTGGCGGGAGAGCTGGCGGGCCAGTGGACCGGGCCTCAGCTACCCCTCACACCCACACTCCACCAGCAGATCAATGTTGTCTTCGACCATCTGGAACACACCTATGGCCAGGTAAACCTTCGCACAATACCCAGTAGCGACGCCAATGATTCCTGTGTCACAAAACTTATGCTCGCTTCATACAAAGTTCATTACACAAACTTTGCATTAGAAATTCAGTAATGAGACTTGTCAAGACTTGATATATTCGTCCTTGATATATCCAGTCATCGTTACCTTTCACGTGTCCAGTGTGGTTTAATGTTTTTACTCTTGGGTAATTAAGTATGATTGCCCAGGTGGAGGTGTCGCACACGCTGGGCTACTTGACGGCTGCCAAACACGGCCTCTCAGACTCGGAGATGATTGACATTCTCTCCTGCGACGAGACTGTTCTGGAGAAGGTCTTCGTGCACTGCACCCCGCCAGGTGAGAGACTGTGTCTCCTAGGGCACGACACACTTTCTTATCAACCACAAGAATTATGTCATTTTTATATGATCACTGTACCATATGTAAGGGAATGAGATCAGAGGTCACTTGCGTGCATCATAAACAAATATACTGCCCACTCTGGGTGATTCCTTTGACAATTAAGCCAACGGCTTCCTATCTCTATTCAGACCACTAGAGACGGTGCCCCTTAGGTAAATTATATATTGTATACGGCCTCTACTCGCTGATCATTGAGACATGACTGTGTCTGCAGTACGTCGGTGTCCGTCGCTGCTGTGGGTGCAGATCTCTAAGCAGCTTGAGCCGTTCCTGATGAAGAGGATCGTAGCTGGGATCTGCCTCCTCACGTGGCGTTACGAGAGCTTCCGCGAGGCAGCGCGAGCACGCTACCTGGGCACGCCCGACCAGATCACCGCCAGCTGCACTGAGCTCATCGACTACTTCCAGGTCGCTAACTTCTGTTATCACACGGTGGAATATGCAATAACAGTCATCACCTTTACGCTTCCACGCTTGTATTTCACACAAACTTTTTGTCCAGTAGTGAAACTTTTTGTCCAGTAGTGAGGGAAATTATTCAATGCCTACATATACCACTCTTTAGTCACTGACAGGCTCCTTCTCTTATTCTTTCACTCATTAAACTGACCCCCATTCCACTCTTCATTATAATTTTCTTTGTATATTTGCCTTGCATAAACTTAGCACGTCGAAATTTCCTTCTTTAAGAACGTTTACCACTTCCAATTTCGATCTTTTTCTAATTTACTCTTCTCATGTTTCACGCAGTCATACGATACTGCCTATGTGTTGTGGAGGATAGGCAAGTAGGTGTGACCCCCAGATGCGGCGATATTTTCACCTTTAGTAGGATGAGCCTGCAGCCTGATCCACTAGGACCCATAGTGTGGAAAATGCTACATTAATTACATCACACAGTGATAGGCGGTAGGGTCACCGTATCCCTTTACCATACTGATATAACAAACCAGAACTTCAAAAGAAAAGGTTGAAGTTACTGTTGTTAATAAGTAAATAACTCAACCCACACACACACACAAGAAATGAGATGAGAGTGACGACGTTTCGGTCTGTCCAGGACCATTATGTGACAACGTTTCTGTCCGTCCTGGACCCATATCAAGTCGTGACAGAAAAAGTGGGAGAGATAATCAATTTACTTTTGTTTCACATGTGTGAGTTTGGTTATATGTTTCAGCCAAGTTATTGTTACTTATTGCTAACTGTTACTGTAAATAGATAATTTACTTCAATTTTCGTGCTCATCGGTATATAACTTGCAAGTATCTCTCTCTCCAGGGCAAGTGGGCCAACGGAGTGAAGAAGCCGCTGCCTGTGGACGAGGCTGGGGTGGAGGACTCCAAGGACCGTTACGTTCTTGACCAGCCCATTAAGTACCGGGGCAGGTGAGCCTCATATTGTGCCATGCTCTCCTAGGCCATGGTATAATACTGGGTCATGGTCTCATACTGGCTATATTCTTATACTGCCTATGGTCTTATACTGTTCCATGATCTTATACTAGGCTATGATCTCATACACTTTCTCTAATCTTTTGCATGTGCTTGGAGGGAGCTTCCTGCAGTAGGAACAATAAGATATCAAGCTTAGTGTTGAGATTGTGCCTTAATAATGTTTCCTGATGCCTTGCAGCAACATGTCCAAGATCTCCGTACAGCCAGCCTTTGTTCGCCACAACCGACGCACGCTGGACGAGCTACCGTACCAAGTCCTACAGCTGCGGGGCCGGATACTTGAGGAATTCATCCTCAACTTTGACTGGGTGTACGAGAAACTCTGTGGATCAGATACATACCAGGTAAAATGTTTTACCTAAAGTTATATATTTTTCTTATTTTTATTCTTGTGAAATGATAAAAACTTTCCATTGTATTATATATGATTTAATTTTAAAAAAATCTATATATGAATATATATATATATATATATATATATATATATATATATATATATATATATATATATATATATATATATATATATATATATATATATATATATTCCATATATATGGAAAAGGGGCAAACAGTTGGTGTGGGATTACACATGTGTATCCACCCTGGCTGACACCTATGTACACTTCGGTGCTGATCAAGCAGGTGGGGCGATCAACCACAGGGAAATAGCAAAATTAGTCAAATACAGGCGACTGGAAGGTCAATACACCTTTGTTCACATAGCATCTGAGACGCATGACCCTTGGGGTAGGAGTGCCTTGGGATTTCTCAAGGAATTGGGCTCCAAGCTCATTGACGTCACCAGAGACCCAAGGGCTTCCAGTTTTTTGTTTCAGCGCCTCAGTGTGGCGATCCAGAGGGGAAATGCCTGCTGCGTCCTCGGTTCCTGTCCGGAAGCGGAGCTCCAAGAGATCCATAACACTAATTGTATTATTAATGTACATCTTGTAACCTTTAAATATCTAATAAAGCACAACAAACCACAAAAGGAAGGAGGTGGTAGGAGAAAAACACAGAAACTGTATTGGAGGGAACCTAAACATTCCCTCTAATGCGTTATGTGTGGTTGCCTCCGAGGCTAAGAGTCCTCTTACACACAGAAATCACAATAGCATCAAATGAACAAATCCACAAGGGCCGTGATGAGGGTTCGAACCTACGTCCGAGAGGATCCTAGACACGCCTTAATCCTCGGACGTAGGTTCGAACCCTCCTCGCGGCCCTTGTGGATTTGTTCATTAAGGGTCCTCTTCTTCCAGCCAGAGGTGGTACGCCCTTCCATATATATATATAAAGAAAGGTTGAGAGACGTCAGTGTAAAACTTATTTTTTATTTCCTGTTTCTAGGTGCTGGAAGATGTGTGTCTGGCATTGACCAACCACAACAACAACGTTGAGTTGGTACTGCTTAAGGAAGTGTTGGAGCTGGCAGCGTATGCTCTGGGGTATGATGGGCGGCAGTTCTACTCTCAGGTAAACTCATTTTTTCTATTTTCATAGTCTATAAATATTTCTGTATATTTCCCTAATAGGCACCATGTCAAATGGCCTTGATGGGGGGGGGACAGAATGGCTAATATTTGTGGTTCTCGCGAGTGAAGACTCACAAGAACCACAAATCACAAGAATCATTTTGTTGTATAAGTCTTCATTGAAACAAATGCACAGGCGCGAGGCTGTAACAGATTAATCCTCGTATATCTTCATGTACCTCTTCGTGCATGCTCAGAAACTTAACATTAATTCTCAGCGATATTATTGCTTTCAGTGCAAGTTATTTGCAAATAATTTATATTTGCAGCAACCAAATTAGCATATACATCTTCTTGACAAATAGTTCAGGTGTTCCTTAAAGTATTGAAAGCATTTGAGGTTTAGCAAAAGATTTTGTATATTGCTACTACAGTACTCTTAAAGATTGGGACAGTTGTGAAAGGGAACAAAGTGGGAACGATGTACTGTATTGATCCCAAAAGCTAACTAAATGTTTTTTTCTTTTAACTTGTAATTTGTCTCTTTCATAATCACATTCAGATTGCCATTTATTATGTTTTATTTGTTATTAATTGATTACATGTGTAGTGGTTAAAGGGATAATGATTATAAGTTAAATACATCCTACAATAATATCTTGCTAATATTATAATAGAAACATATTCAGCAGTTGTTGTGACTGATGTACTCAATTAGTTATGCTTACGGGGATTCAGCTTCGGTTATTTGGCTCTGCTTCTCGACCGTCAATCTACTAAATGTACTCACCTAATTATGCTTGCGGGAGTTGGGCTTTGTCTCTTGGGTCCCGCCTTTCAACTGTCAATCAACTGGTGTACAGATTCCTGACTTAAAAATGTGTTATGTGGCAGGTATGTGGTCGGTTGTCTACCCTCATGTCGGACCCACATAACCATGAGACATATCCCGTCATCAAGAAGCTCTACGACACAGCATCAAGTGCTCCGGTTCCCTGCCTCCTGCCGCTCACAGTCTGCCTGCACCAACCCTTCCAGGTGCCTGCCTCCTCCCCCCCCCACCTGTCTTACTCATCTGCCTCACAGCCTCATACACAATATTTTCAACTAACTTTGAAAAAAAAAACGTTTATTCAGCATTACATGACTCGTTACTCCGGGGGATATAACATCATCCTTACGTCTATTAGTAACACAACTCTTATATAATTCATAATTCATTTATGAATTATATAGAGCTGTGTCACTAATAGGCACAAGGATGATGTTATATCCCCCTTGTATGTAATGTATGTGTATGTAAGCCTTGTATATAAATATCAAAATGAACAATGTAACATTATCTACAGTTGAGCTTCCCTCTATAGAAGTGTTTTTGATAATATGCAGCAACTTTTTTGTTTAGTAATTTAGTACTTACAACTGGTACACAGGATGAGCATATGAGACTAGGGGACGGAGAGGTCTACTTCAACGCGTTGATCAGAGCTCGTCACAACCCCCACTACGTCATCACCCTCTCCACGGACCGAGAGGAAATAGCTGTGTGGAATATCTTTACTATGACCCCAGTTCGCACCCTCACAGGCATCACTCAGCCGCGGAAACTCAAGGTATAGAGGACATGTTCCGCACCAGTACAGTACTAACATATACAGTAAAAAATATCATTGTTTTGTAGCATTATTACCATGCAGTATTTTGCATCTTCATTTATAGTGCCTTTTAGGCATGTTCTTGGAAGTATTATATACTTATTGCTATTTATTTCTAGAGTAAACATTAATATATCACATATTATCACGTATAGGGACATTGTTATTCATTCTCGCATCTGAACTAAATTGTGGCTTAGAAAAGCTAAGAAAATAAAACTCACTTTCATCAGTTCCAAGTGAATTTATTTTTGGATTAAATGATCGTTTATGTCCATATATAAACTGAATGGCTATTTTAATGCTTCAGATGATTGATGACTACCGATGTTTGGTTCTTTGTGGTCGTGAACTTCGCATCTATAACTTTGATGAAGGACTCTTTGTCATGAAGTTACGTGAAGTTATGAACCAGAAGATGCCATATTTTGGTCTGCATGACAAGGACCACGTGGTGGCACTCTCTCGCTCCAGGATGTATGTCAACATGATGAACCTACAAAATGGCGACTGTGTGGCAACATTCAAAGTGAGTTTTAGTTTTATCAGTATCTTCATCTCACAGAATGGTTACCTCATCTCACAAGATGATTACCTCATCTCAGAGGATGATCATCTCATCTCACAGAATGATCACCTCATCTCACAGAATGGTTACATCTCACAGGATGATTACGTCACCTCACATGATGGGTTACCTCATCTCACAATGCTCACAAAACTTGCTGTATATTATTCCAGGTCATCATATGTAATCACCTACCGTATCATGTCACCAGGTGGGAGAAGACAGATTTCTGAATAGTTTAATGGTGTCTGAAAATGGCAAGATCTGTGTGTGTGGAGATGAGACCCAGAAGCCCTCAGCTCTACTGGTGTGGGACCTGGAACTCCGGAAGCTGATGTACGACCTCCGTATACCTCACCACGAGTTCATCACGCGCAACGCTGCCATCACCAAAGAGGGCCACTATGTGTGCTGCGTCTGCAGGGTGAGCCACCGCTTGCCTCTCTTCCTCTTCTACTGTCTTTACCCATATATTATTTGTGTATTCCGTTCCTTGTGGCTCTGGCTGAGACAGCTGGTGTGGCAGTGTTGTTTTCGACTGAGACAGCTGGAGTGGCAGTGTTGTTTTAGGGTCAACCAGCTGGAGTGTCAGTGTTCTTTTAGGGTCAAACAGCTGGAGTGTCAGTGTTGTTTTAGGGTCAACCAGCTGGAGTGGCAGTGTTGTTTTAGGATCAACCAGCTGGAGTGGCAGTGTTGTTTTAGGGTCAAACAGCTGGAGTGTCAGTGTTGTTTTAGGGTCAACCAGCTGGAGTGGCAGTGTTGTTTTAGGATCAACCAGCTGGAGTGGCAGTGTTGTTTTAGGGTCAAACAACTGGAGTGGCAGTGTTGTTTTAGGGTCAAACAGCTGGAGTGGCAGTGTTCTTTTAGGGTCAAACAGCTGGAGTGGCAGTGTTCTTTTAGGGTCAAACAGCTGGAGTGGCAGTGTTGTTTTAGGGTCAGACAGCTGGAGTGTCAATGTTGTTTAGCCACATACAGTCACTGTGACTGTGTATGTGCTTGTCTGTATCTTACTGTGTAATTGAAGGGAAATTACATTTCAAACCTCAACCATTGAGGTTTGAATTATGCACATTGCATGAATAATTGTTGAGTATTCCACTCTTGTCTATAATTCTAACGCTGCATATAATATCCATAATAATCTGAATTCCATAATATTTCCTCTTGTTAAATGCCTGTCCTGTGATCTTCAGGAAGTGGATGAACCAGCGCCTAACTTCATTGTGGTGTATGACCTGCAGAGTGGAACCCTCTTTAAGAAGTGGAAGCCAGGAGTGAACATCATTTCCATCGCTATATCTTCAGCGGGGAGCTGTGTTATTGTTGGCCTCGAGGACTCCAAGCTGATGGCGTATGATCTCATTACAGGTTAGATGCAAATGTTGTATTAATGAAAATCTGCATGAAAACTGTGATAATTTAGAAAGTATTAACTATCTATATTATTTTTCTTACAAAGTACAGTGTTTTGTAATAATTGCTGTACATAATTCATGTACATTGGTGTACATATAATACATTGGATAAGTACATTCTTGCAAAGCTACTGAGATGCATAGCGTTACAGGCAAGTTTTGAAATTTACAAATTTATTGAGGTGTACATTGAAAATTTACAGCGATTTGTAAGTGAATACAGTATTGTAGTTTAATCTCCAGAGCACTCTGGTCCTAATCTCTATGCAGGACAAATCTAAAATTAAAACTTAAGAATAGTATAGTTGTAGCATTTGAATGCTTTTTGACTGTTCCATACGATGATAGCTGGCCTATGCCCTAACCAGGAAGAGCAGGGGCCTTACAGCCTTCTGAAAAAAACCAGCTGTAACAGGGATCCAGGGAATTGCAGCTGTATCCTGTTCCTCTACAATCTGGGTCTTCCAGTTAATCTCTGGGAAAACTGATCAGTGCAGTTGGTTTCCTGGATTTGATTCCTGCAGCAGCTGATGCCTCTGTTCACCTAACAATAAATGGAAACCTGGGAGTTTGACAAGTGTTGTGAGTGAGGAAAGGTCATTAGTTGGCCTAGGGGGACAAAGATAGCCTAGCAGGCTTCTGTCCCAAACAATGGGATATGGGAAACCATAACTGAGCAGCTGTTGTGTAAGCTTCTATAACATGATGGAGGCTCACTAAGTGCACCTAACCTCCACTTACACATTTTGAAAATCAGATACAGAATCTCTCATCAGTGGCACCTTACCGTAAGTTGCATTGATTCCTAGGATTAATGTCCCCAAACATTCTGGCTAATTCCTTACTCCCTCAGCCTTCTGGAATTCTATCTGTAATTGGGAACTAAACATCTTAAGTGGCAAGAATCATGCTCTTCTGTGCCTAAAAACTTAATCTGGCACCATGCACATTGACATAAGCAGAAACATGAACGTACGTCTCAAACTCTGGGAAAACTGCTAGAAGGCCTAGGTCAACCATCAACAGAAATATTAGCTCCTAGTCTGCTGTCATCTATACACAGGATAAAAATCACACCAACATCAAAGTTTGTGGAGCTGGTCACTAACAGAAAACACAGTTAGTGGTGTCCTGCTTGAGGCCCAAGACACTCTATACCAAACCTCAGACTAAGAAATGCCAGTAGTCTTACATGAGGCTTAAAATGCCTGCTTTTGTTGCCAAAGTTAGTACATAAACAAGGCCTGGTGATAAGACCATGTGCAAGCGGCTAAAAAACCGCTTGCACATGGACCCCTATGGTAAACATGGACCCCACGGTAGATGCCAATCCTCTAAGCAAAAACTTGTCAGAAAAATGCCAATAACTATTTATCTTCCTAGCGAACAACTAGGACATTGGCCCCAGCATATAACCTTAAACCATGAACAGATCTAGTCAACAAGTTGTAATTAATTCAATTTATCTAAAATAGTTAAATTATTACTTGCTAATTAAACAATATATTAAATTTTTTAAGGTAATCCCCGATGGACTCTGAAAGGACACACTGCCCCTCCAACTACCATTAGACTGGACAACCGAGGACTTCAGTGTCTTACATATGATTCCTTAGGTCGAGATCGATCTGTAAGAGTTTGGGACATTCATACTGGCAAGTTTCATAATTGTTTCTTATTCTTGAACGCTTCAATAAATTCATGTTTAATACTAACAGTTTGATACCGTTATTATAAATACTGAATTTAAGAATAATTACGAAAGAATTCCTGGCATTTGTCATGGTCACATAATTCATGAAATAGAAAGTACTGTAAAGCCCAATTGATGTTGTGAATTGATCCTCTACATTGAGACTATATTGAAAGCTATAGGTAATTGCTGATGTCACAAACTAGTTAATGATAAACATGGTTGTATAAATATGTTGCAATTCTTACAGGTAATAGTCTTGCTGTGATGACCCCTGACCAGGCCATCACTGCTTGTGAGATCTCCAGTGATGGTAAGGCTGTAGTGATGGCTTTAGAAGGAAGGAATGAGATTGTTACTTTCTTACTATGTCACCAGTCAGGAGTAGATGGCCACGCAACCCCCAAGTCCTACGGAAATGACACTAACAAAGGCAAAGTGTTTGACTTAAGCCAAGCAGGGTAAGTACAGTAGCTTGAATATGCAAATAATTTTTTAGCAGCTACGTATATTTAAAATTAAAGAACATGGCATTGGCTTTATAAAGAATTACAAAATTCTACACAATTTTTGGGAGGACTCCTATGGTGGCTCTTTGGTGTTTGCTGCCCAGCAAGTGCCACCCAGTTCAATCCATGCCAGGCCCTTTCAAGATATAAGCCTCCCAGGGACCAGAGGCCGAAACCTAGCCCCCTTCCCCTTTAAAGAGACGCTAGGAGCAAGGGATTGCAAATCTGCCTACCGTAGAAAAGGTCCCTAAAAAGGAGATAAGTCAAAGCAGACTACAAGGAAAATAAATAATTGAAACTGGGACTACAAAGCCCCGAGATTCAAGGACCACTCAGTGGTGAAGCAATTTTCACCTTGATTACACCTGTGCAGCACCAGGAGGCTGTGCATCTTCATCCTCGAACCACTAACCTTAAACTCTAAGTCATATTGCCTGGTCCTTATGTTCAACATGTTCGTTGTTACACTCCTCTTCCCACCCCAGTGGCCTTTGGGGTCCTGTTTTTTTAGATAAATGCAGGCCATCCTGGACAATGTTTTTGTCCTGTGTGGGACATTTGCTTATGTAGTGTATTTGGATAGTTTTTAGTATTTGCTTCATGATGCATGTATATTTATGCCTCATTTTTTGCACGGACTGCATGTGCCTGGAGTTATTATCTCTAGGTGTTTAATGACGTTGCCATTGCCTGGTCAGTTTCAATCTTTGGGAAGATTTGTGGGGAACAACTTGTCCTCATCAATAAATGGCCAAATGATTGTTAATCCATCCACCAAACCCCCCCTCCCCTCTATAAATGAAAAACACTTTACATATGACTCATATCTGATGTGCATACTTTTTCTTGAACAGTGCTTTGTTCACATCCACTTCACGAATTGCAGCTCTGTAAATGCTACATGCATGTACTGCAAATTCCACAAATTGTCAACGGAACCTAACCACCTAAGTTAGGCCCCAACTATTCAACACATTCTAGTATGTAATAGTATTTTCTTAAATATGTAAATATTAATTTTGAATATGCATCACATTAAAACTGACGAACGTGTCATTGAGGTCGACTGCTGGTTGTGTAAGCCTTACTAGAGGACAGATTGCTCGGAGGGACGCCCTTCTTGTTGAAAGATACCTCGCCCTTGGCAGTACATAGGTCTTTGACTCCTCTGTGAGGCCTTGCAGATGGGGGCAGTCTAATTTTTGTTTGAGGGTCACATAGAGGTTTGCATGCTCTTGGCAAGCACCTCTTAGTGTTTTGTGTTACGCTGACTGGTTGTATTTTATGGCAAAGACTGAGGAACGTGTTTCATTGATAAGAAAAAATGTCTTCAAAATATTAGGAGGCGGCAAGACTTGAGCTAAGCCTGCCCTTCCCAAAGCAGAAGAAGAAGAAGGCAGGCTGGTTGAGACCTCATACGACCCAAGCTGCCACCTGGTGGCAGTGAGACCCATCAGTCAAGAGTATTTACCTTGCAGCAGCAATCATTTGCCTTCTTCATCTAAGGTTGCCTAATTTCCTTCAAGCAGTTGCTTGTTTTGTTGCACCTATGCTTTCTGGTGGGTTTCCCTTTTGTGACTGAACTCTGGTTCCCTGCTTCCCTTGCCTCGTAGTTAGTAACTTTCTGGTCCTGGCTCCTAGTAGGTGACAGATAGTTCTTAGTGGCCTGGTGTTTTCAGGTTCTTCTTCGTGGTACCAGAGCTAAGTTTGGAGAGATACTGAAGATTCCTAACCAGAAATATGGTATTAAACATACAGTTTACAGCAAGATCTTAGACAAGGGTTACTTGGAGATTCTCCACAATGTACTGTCCAACTCTGATTAAACCCTTTGATATTTCCTGAAGAAACACTGCTAACAAGAATAAACACCAAGAAGCAAGGAAGATTTGCTATGACTATAGTCCAACTGAATATCTAAGAAGATCTAGAAGAACCCTCCACCCCTCATCAAGACAATACCCCACAGTTATTATACAGTCTAATTAGCACATGACCACTAAAAATCTGCCCTTAACTATACTTCTACTTATGTTAGACTGCTTAAAATAAGTTTTATTCTAACAAATATTCAGATGTTAATGATAGGGTAAAACATGTAAAATCTTTCCAGATGACACAAGCTCCACATCCTGCTCCATTCATATACCAGTTTGAGAATAGAGTTGTAGATGAGTAGCAGAGGTTGAAAGATTTTAACCTACCATTATTGAGGCAGTTTTAACAGGTTTCACAAATGGATTGGATAGGTATATGGGTGAGAGGGTGTGGAGTGAATTTAAACAGAACTCGCCTAGTAATGGCCAACGAGCCTGCTGTAATGCTCCATAATATTTCTGACAAATACAATATAATGTGTCAGAGACCAGGCTGCGGGGACCTCGACACTCGGAATCAATGCAAGGTAATGCTCCATAATATGTGATCAATACAGTACACACTATTGCTCCCTAAGGCAACATTCTTTCTGGTTCCATAGGACAAGGTCATGCACAATCAGGGCAGGTTGGCATTCTACACTGGTGCAGCAGAAATCTGTCAAACAGCCCTGTTAAGGCATACTGGTGGCTAGGGAAGGCACTTTACAAACTTTAAATCTAGCCCAAAAAACTTTTAGAAAAGGTCATTCAAAAACACCCAAACCCCTTCCAAGCCTTTCATAACATCACAGGGACTGCCAAGTAGCCCTCTCGTTAAGTGCCACATGAATCATTAAAAAGAATGTGTAGCCTATATCTTCCTTTTCACATTCTGACATTTATTCTTCAGCTTCTATATACTGTACATTCAACTATCCCCATATACACAAAATAAAATGATGAAAAGAAATAGAAAGAACAATCACTGATTGTTCCCCAAACTAAGCGCTGGTCCAGCTAGGCTTTAGAAAGTTACACCAGGCCCCTGAGACCAAGCCTTGCCTACCAGGAGCCAGGACCAGAATCTGACTCTCTCCACAAGGTGAGGGAAACCTGGGAACCAGACAACTTCCCAAAACTGAGAAAAACAACCACCAAAATGCATAAGTGCAAGAAAACAAGCAACTGCTTGAAGAAAATTTGGTACCTAAAGGTATTGAAGGGAAACAGTTGTTACCAGGCTGTGTCCTGCTGTTTCTGAGCCATGTGCCTGGGCAGTGTACATACAGTATTATACTGTACTGTAGAGTGTAAATCTAAAGAATTATGTCAGTTTTTGAAATCACTACAATACTGTATTTTATTACTACTGTACTTACATATAACAACAGTGTCGTATTAACACATATAGTAAGCTCATTTGAGCTCGTCAGTCAGCTATTGATGACATGGGTAACTGACTGCTGTAACTTTCCATATTGTAAAAAACATTACAATCTCCATATGACTGAATTATTATATAAAAATATATATTTTTTAAGTTATGAAATAACAATGCTACACAAATATTCTTGGAAAATTTATATAACAACTACAAGATGTCATTGCAAAATAATGTAAAATAATTACTTTTATCTTATTAAGTGGCAGAATTTCATTCAAATCTTTTTCTATTTAAACATATTTTCTAGGGGGAGCCCCGTCGGCTCCCCGGAGCTTTACCGGCTGATATGCTAATGTCAGACTTTGGCATCAGTCATGTGTATGGAGTTCTAGGGCCTACCGGGGACAACGAGCCAATACCTGGCCCCCTCAGAGAGGCAAGGGGAGCAATGGCCTATAGAAACCCGCGTGTGGTTGGAAGCATTCTATGTCTGCCATCGACCGGGCCAAGCATCCAGACAGGTAAGCATTCCAAAACAAACCCCTATTCTGGTGAAAGTTGCTACCTAAGCCGAACTAGTAGATAAAGCCGGTAAAAGCTCCGGGGAGCCTCCAGGTCTCACCCAGAAAATGGCGTTTCATTACATTCAACGCTGGTTTTTTCTTTCTAGATAGTGTGTAAGTCTTCTGTGTGGTACTGGTGGGTGCAGTGTCTTGCTCATGGTCAAGACACACATACTCATGTGCATCACCTATACAGATATATATATAGTGCATTAAAAGCACATATAAATGGTGATGCCACCAGAGTTACACGAGAGATGTAACATGATGCCTTTCCTACTGCGAAGTACCCATGGAGTCTCACTTTAGTGTAGTGGTTAGTGGACTCCGCTCACAGCTGATCGGACTTGTGTTCAAATTCTCGGGCAGGGCAAAGGAATTGGGGATCTTTCGTTACATCTGACGCCTCTGTTAATCAAGCAGTAAAGTGGTAGCAGGAAGTTAAGCCATTGTTGTGGGTTACTTCCTGGAAAAGGTAGGTGTTGGTTAATGAGGACCTTGCTATGCCTAACATTTCCTGTCCTTCAACAATGTGAAACAATAACATGTCACAAAGTTGGTCAGTGTATAAGGTTTTAGGTTGATAATGGAGTACCACATAAAGAAGGACTACTTTACAATGTCATACTGAGTTATGGTGGTCTGCAGTGGGCCATGTTTGTTATTCATAAAGCGGTCAAGTCTTCTGATATTACAGAAGCTCCTGCACGTGAACATGATTTTTGGCTGTGGTATCCAGACTATTGTAGTTTTCTAAACATATTCTGAAACTAATATTAATAAGAATACATGATATTGCAATATTATTATACTGTATACAATATAATATACATCAAGTTTTTACCACTTAGAAAACACACAATCATGCATGACATATACATTCACAGGTCAAACCTTCCAGTATTCTGATTAAGTTTAGTTTAAGAACCTGTTATTCTGTATGGTAAAACATGTTTGTCTTGCTTCACATGTAGATCTGTCATCACTTAGTGTAGATATACAAATCATTGTCTTCTACCATAAATGCGTGTAAAAATTGTTTTTGATGTCAACCAAAAAATATTGAATGGATAAGTTTGCAGATATGACCTTTGCCTTTCATAGTCTTATAATATTCCAAAACGGTTTTGTCATATTATCTTGAAATTACAGCAGTATGAAATTAAATTTTTAATATGTAATATTTTGTTACGAGAACTGACCATACTGTTCTGTTACGAGAACAGTAATTAGATTGACAGTCTGTTTGAATTCATTGCTCAATGTGGACAAGGATGTACATCAGCTCATAATATATACCCTTACAATAGATCAATAGGCTGTAATATAAATTTAAACCAAAGAAGTTGACAAAAAAAATCTGCTTAGCAGATTATCAAGTCAACTTCTGAAAGTGAATACCTATATAACACCTCCACTCATAACCCAGTTGAAGAGATTATTTTATACGATTTATATATAATTACAAGTATTTATACGATTTATAAATAATTACAAGTATTTATACAATTTATAAATAATTACAAGTATTTTGCAGATCTTTCATTAGAGTTTCAAGAGAATTAGAAACATATTGATTTAGTATACAGAGAAGGATACAGAGGACATATTTTAACACTTTCTATCGGGTAATTTTCATATTTAAGATAAGAATAGCTTAAACAATAGATGTTTAAGAAGCATCTTTGTAGCTTTCACATTTAAGTAATGTTATCTGAAAGGAAATTACAGATTTACAATACTCAAACCCTAGAAGAGTAATGATAAAGAATAATCTCGCTGGTATTAATTACGTCGTCTTTGATTTAAACAAAAAAAAAGGACAATTCTTATGTAAACTTCAAATGAATATTTACTGAAAGTTAGAGATAATGAGCCCTGTTGACAAATTATTGTTACGTATATAAACACACATGACACATACCTGTACCGTTCCTGACAATCATTTAGAATCTGAAGCAAAGTAAAGTAAAAGTTCATTCATCACAGATGGCTGGGCACTCAGATTCACAGAATTCATTTTTATTTTACAGTGGATAGGATGCAATTTTTTTTTAGTACAGTACTCTATGTATTAGTTATGGCCCATAAGACACAAATAAAAAAATTAATTTATTATTTAAGAGAAATATAATAAAACTTGTCATGCCTCATGTTCAACTAATTGATTGTTTATATTTATAACAGAGAGAGTACATCTTATCAATCAAGATATCAAACCAAATTTCAGCAAGAGACCACCTTGACAATTGAATTCAGTTTTTGTCACCATGATTGTTTACAATACTACAGTATTGTATAGCCATAGCACTTGTGTGTGTGTGTTATTAAGCAAATCAATAATGGTAAAAGCTAAACAGATTTAATTAGTAGTATGCTAGTAAATTCTTGATAATTACCAAAAGAAAACTGAGATACATTAAAACATTGGCAGCATTTGTATGAGAACCGGGCATTGATCCATATACCTGTACAACATCAGCCATGCATTACATACAATAGTTGGTGTAAAAACTGTTATTTGTAAGATAAATTCATTAAGTAACACTGTTATCATTATGTAAATAAGTTACGAGTGTGTAAATATGTTATTGTTCGTTAATTTCACCTAGTTCCTTGTTGAAATTTCTTTTTGTTTAATATGGTTTAGTTTTAAGTGTCTGTCTAGTTAATGTTAGAGAGGTAAACTGATGAAGAGCTTACATGCTATACACTCACTCCAGTGCTTTGTTGAGTTCTCAGTTTTGTTTCATTGATACTGTTGCTTCTGTCTTGGGCTTATATAAGCACAAACATTATATTTGCATGAAAATAAGAATATAAAAATAATAGCAGAAGTGTGATGTTTTTCCAACCCATAAGTATTCCAACTTTGACATCATCTGTACATATCATGCATTCTTAAGTGATAAATGTGCACTGTTGATAGTATAGCATGAAAGGAAACCTATGTATAGATTGAATGGAATACTGTATTTGTGTTGGCCAGAATCCTACATCATTGCCTTGCAAATGAACAGACTGTTTGGAGATTAAATAATTAAAAAAAAAGCAAGTATAATGGTTGAACAAATTTAAATTTATTTTTAAAGGTAATTCATTTAAGCCTAGTATATATGTATATATATATATATATATATATATATTATATATAGAGTAATTAAACAATTGGTTCTTAACTGTCCTATAGCTCTTGATTATATCAAACACCTTAAAATTTACATTTGTAGAGGGTTGAAACAAGTGAGAAACAGCAGATGTCAAAAAATCAGCATTTGTAAATCATGTTACAAAGATTATTGGGAAAACGGGACACCACGAGCATAGGTCTCATTCTGCACCTACACTTTGGTAATTAATTACTCTCACTCTCTCTCTCTCTCTTTCTCACACACACACACACACACACACACACACACGGGGGCCTGGTAGCCTGGTGGATAGCGTGCAGGACTCGTAATTCTGTGGCGTGGGTTCGATTCCTGCACCAGGCAGAAACAAATGGGCAAAGTTTCTTTCACCCTGAATGCCCCTGTTACCTAGCAGTAAATAGGTACCTTGAAGTCAGTCAGCTGTCACGGGCTGCTTCCTGGGGTGTGTGTGTGTGTGTGTGGTGTGGAGAAAAAAAAAAGTAGTTAGTAAACAGTTGATTGACAGTTGAGAGGCGGGCCAAAAGAGCAAAGCTCAACCTCCGCAAACACAACTAGGTGAATACACACACACACACACACACACACACACACACACACACACACACACACTCACACTCACTCACTCACTCACTCACTCACTCACTCACTCACTCACTCTCTCCTCTCTCTCTCTCTCTCACACACACACACAGCAATCACACACACACAACACACTCTCTCTCTCTCTCACACACAACACTCTCACACACAACTCTCTCTCTCTCTCTCTCTCTCTCTCTCTCTCTCTCTCTCTCTCTCTCTCTCAACATCTTTAACTACTTAACAGTCTGGATTCTGAAAATACTGCACTGTGCTGCTGTAAACCATGACCACATGATAACTTCAGTGACTAATCATGTTGATATGTTGCACTTCTCTCACATGAGCACAAGATTAAGAGACTTGTGTACAATAATTTATGATTAACTTTTGAAAATAAAGATATAGATTATCTTCATTTACACAATATTAGTAACAAATTTGTGACATATATGTCTCATTGATTAGTAGAGTATGTAAACAATTGATTAACATTATCATACACAGCACTACTTTACAGTAACCGTCAAAAAAACACAAGACCATAAGTGTATGTAGCAATACAGTATCAAAATAAACACAGGTTTACAACAAAATTCTAAGAATAATTGCATTGTTAAAATACAGTATCAAAATTTAAGCTTTGATAATAATTTGTTCAATTTAATTAATGCTTATATAAAATGTTATATTTTACACCTAAAACTTTTAACAGCTCAGAATTCTTTTCCTTTCAAGCTCAAAAACAATATTCTGTTTACAATTCTGTGCCTCAATATCGTTGATAGGTGTGTATTTTTTTCTGGGGTAAGTTTTAATTGAGTTTGTGCATTTTTGATTGCATTATTTGAATATCATTGTCATTCTCAGAATGACCTTGTTTCACACCATCATGGGGAGCACAAGGTGAAGAATGTTTAATAATTTAAACAATAAATGTTATATGCAATAAGCAAAGTTGTATGTCAGAAATTTTCTTCAGAAAATTTCACTTTTAAGGTTATTGGAAACCACAGACTGTACACACATTTTTTTTTTTATTTGGATTTCTCTACCAGCAAGATATGGTTACACAAATATTCACAAGAATGTAGGCAACAAACCCAACAAATTGTGCATGAGCAATGCCATTACTGAAAGAAAATTAGCAATTCATGCATGTCTTAAAAATACTATATTAATATATTGTATTTCAATCCAAAATTGAATGCAAGCAATGTAGTGCCATTTTCTATTTGAACTTAAAAACATAATTTCTATTGTCTGATTACAGTGCAAAAATTCCCATTTCTGGCCAACTGCCTCATTGACAGTACAACTGTCTGGTGTTATGTCAAATGAGGTTCATAACATTCAATGAAGTTTAATGATCGAGATTAATTTATCATAATTTATGTTACTTTACCTATGTGCAACTAGTATGTCTGAGTTAATATGTTGACCATGTATGGCTCCTCATGTTGTATTCCATCACTCACAATACAATTTGTACAAAATCTGCCTTATTTTAATTTGCACTTTTTTTTAATATGAATATACTTAATGCATTTATTTTATGACATTTATGTCTAAATTTGTGTGGTTTGGGGAGGTATTAATTTTGTAATAAGTGACCCATAATACACATGCAGACAATGAGTCACAATAATGTGGGTGAAGACATGACGTCCAAACAACACATCATACCCCCCCCCATACACTTGATGTCATCACATACAGAAAATATTGTTTACGTCCATTTTTGCTATATTTATGGTGTTTAGAAATGCAATTTTTATTGTATTTACTGTATTAGGAATAAAAGTATGGAGATACTGCAATGTATTAAAGATAAACATGGGAGAATAATGCCTGATAAAGATCAAATTACGAGTAGGGAGAATTTGCATTTTAAAAGTTTGAGGGAAAGAAATTGATAAAGGTGCAAATGTGAATATAATAAGTCTTAGTAGTGTGAGAAAAATGCAAGACATAATAAAAAAAGACATGTCCCTGGAAGAGACAAGAGCATTGCAAAAGATGTAATGTGAGAAAGCTGCAAGTATGGATGATTAAATGCAGTCTAGAGAAAGGAAGTGGAGTGAAGGATTTGCTGGATAGCTTAAGTAAGTTGCACTGTACCAGATGATTTAAAAAAACAGCTTTAAATGTAATGAAATGCCATTTTCTGGGTGAGACTCAGAGGCTTCCTGGAGCTATCTGGGCTGATATGGCTGTATTAGACGTGGCATCAGTCAAGCGAATGGAGTTCTAGGCCTACTGGGGACCACAAGCTAGAACCTGGACCCCCTCAAAGAGGCACGAGGAGCAATGGCCTATAGAACCCCCATGTGGTTGGAAGCATTCTATGTCTGTCATTGACCGAGTCAAGCACCCAGAAAGGTAGGCACCCCAAAACAAACCCTCTCTGGTCAAAAAATTGCTACTGAAAGCTGTGGACAGAACTCCCCAAACTAAAAACAAGCAAATGAGCATGACGTCACCAGTACCACCACACCACTGTCTGAGCAGCTCTCCCCTCCCCCAGGAGGGAAAAGGGGGAGCTTCAGACCCCCCCGCACCAGCTATCCACCCCCAGTTCAGAGGCTGGATGTCAAAAACTGTGAAAACCACCGACTGGAGGGAGGAAGTTGCTGGGGAGCCTCTGGGTCTCTCCCAGAAAATGGCGTTTCATTACATTCAACGCTGGTTTTCTGGGGGAGCCCCTTCGGCTCCCCGGAGCTACTTAACCTAAGATAAAACAATAGGGACTTACCCGGGAGGAGGTCGCCACTCGTTCCTCAAATCGATGTTGAGACAACAGAGCCGGCTGCTATGTTATGGTGAAAACTAGCTGCACAGTACTTAACAACGTCAGGAACCAGAGTCGCATGATGCCTGGCGGTCATGCCAGGCATACCCCCGCCGCCTCCCTTCTCCCTCCCGGTGAGGGAGGAGCTGCGCAGACAGCGGTTCAGTGACTGTGGTGACATCATGCTTGTTTTTAGTTTGGGAAATTCTGTTCAACAGTTCAGCTTTCAATAGCAATTTTTTTAAGCAGATAGGGTTTGTTTTGGGGCGCCTACCTTTCTGGGTGCCTGACCTGGTCGATGGCAGGCATAGAATGCTTCCAACCACACGGGGGTTTCTATAGGCCATTGCTCCTCGTGCCTCTCTGAGGGGGGCCAGGTTCTAGCTTGTGGTCCCCGGTAGGCCTAGAACTCCTTTCGTTTAACTGATACCACGGTCTAATACTGTACATTCATATCAGCCCGGATAGTTCCGGGAAGCCGAAGGGGCTCCTCCCAGAAAATGCTATGACTACCAATGATTGTAGTGAGTGTACACACTACCTGTACAGAAGAATTAGTGGTACTATATAAAAAAAATGTAAAAAAAAATGTTTGAGTCAATAAAAATGCACCTTTCTGAGCACAGCCATTGTGGTGCTCCCTAAAATAAGAATCTGATGTCAGAGAAAGGATTCATGAATGATTTTCAACACAGAATAACATTCGGGCATGGGTGCTGCAAGGATCTTTTAAAACATTTCCCCAGGGTCGTACAGAATGCTACAGAAGCCCAAAAGAGAAGCTGTATCCACTCCAGAAAGACCATTAGACATACAGCCATACAGATGCAAAGCCCTTCTGAATTCTTACCTGGCATCACAAGTGACCGGCAAATTTCCCAACATAGCCTCACTTAACTGCCCACCACCAGGTGGCAGCACTGACACTTACCCTGGGTTCCCAAACTCGGATCATGTCATATTTTATCGTCTGTGTCCATGTTCAGTCCAGAGGCAGTGATCTCTCCTAAATTGGGTGACTTATTTTCATTCATTGAAATATATTTTTGTTTACAGTGCCATATTCTATCTGTTCGTGTTTGCTTCGTGTGTGTGCATTGGTAACAAATCATTGTGTATCCATTGATTTTACATAGATAAAATCACATGGAGCTTGTGCATATCTTGCCATGAAAACTAACAGCTTTTGGGTATGACAAATGTTAGGAATAATTTAAATTCATATAACAGCCACTACATGCATGATGTGCATGTATGGAAAATATTTTGTCCGGGTTTAATAAATTACGTGATTGGTTACACTTAATCTGATGCATCTAGACCAGTATAGTCTAGACCAGCATAATCTAGACCAATATAATCTAGACCAATATAGTCTAGACCAGCATAATCTAAACCAGTAAAGTCTAGACCAGTATACTTTAGACCAGTATACTCTAGACCAGTATACTCTGGACCAGCATTTGTCAACCGTTGTACCATTTAAATAATTCTGGATCTTACTTTACTGGTTAAACAACAAAAATTAAACACAAAAATTACTCAAAAATACATTTGCATATGATTAGAATTAGCCTAATTATCATTATTTATTGCAGAATCCCGGTTGAGAAACGCAGGTCTAGACAATACAAATGGCAGAACGAAAGTGATCCCATATGCAACCATAATTCAGTGTTATTAAGCTATAAACAAGCTTAAATGCATATTATAAACATTTCATATATGAAAAATATAAATCTTAAATAGTAGCCATTTGATAGTACAATGCTGTACTATGTGTATGAAAATAACAACAAAAAGGCACATGTATATACAGTACTGTATTGTACTGCTATATGATAATTTTTGTGTATAAGGCAGACTAGTATTGGGGAGAATCATGCATCACTCTGACCTTCCCTGGGAACTGTGATACTTGTTGGAAGTTTGATAGGAGCAGCAAGATAGGAAGTCCTGCCAGATGCCCCACAATTATAACCAAGTTTAGTGAAGTCCTTCATCATCACATTGAAGGTTACTGTAAGTTCTCCTTGGGATCGCACACGTGTCACTGTCAAGAGCAAATTATAACCAAGCCTTAAGTATATGTCAATTTTTTGTTGTTAACAGAAAGCTCAATCCTCAATTGCTCTCTTAGGCAAAATCCTGCTTCTGCAATGGGCAGAATCATGCACAATAATTTTAATAATAATAATAATTTATTTAGGAAAAGTACATACATAGTTGCAAAGTTACAGTACAAACATTCTGTTTGATTGCCCTGCACAAACACAAACAATGCCCTGCACAAACAGGGCATGGCTAGCATCCTGCACCAGTGTAATACAAATCTTTTCAAGCATCCCTGTCAGGTCTAACTGGTGCACAGGCAACACCGAAGAATGCACAATTTAGCCTAGAATGACCTCTATAAAGCTCATTCATTTAGATTCAAAGATCTTCCTAGAGTTCTTTGGCATCCTAGGAACTGCCAAACAGTTATCTAGCTAAGAGCTAGTTAGTTTATCTGGACGATACTCTTGGCTATCACCAGATAGCAGTCTACACATGGACAGAGTTTATATCCTCCACTTACTTCACATTATAAATAACATGAACCACAAGGAAAGCAGGGATCGAAAGGAGGGAATGAGAGCAACTAAGTGTCCTGCTCAAAAAGTAGCTTATCATTTAGAGTGCATTCAAAGCCTAGCTAACAAAACAACAGGAAAGGACTCAGCTCACTTGTGCTACAGGTAAGATGAAGCGTGATACGTTCCAAGAAGCCCACACAGCTAGGCACCCAGAGAGATGGTCAACTGAAACAGTCACTAACAGGGATACATTGAAGGGTTTCAAAATATTGAGGTTTGAAATCAAAATGGGACAATGGTGGAAAAAAGAGCACTTTCAAAATTATTAACTTCTGTACAACTGGACATAAGCTGGTAGCAGACTAAGCCTGACCATTCTGCACACTGGTACTGAGATTGAAGAAGAGGGACACTGAGGAAGAGTGAATATTTGGTTATCTAAGGTTATCTAAGAGCCTTAGATAACCAATTTTGTATCATTTTTAGCTAAAAACCCAGTGTTGAATGTAATGAAATTATGGCTTCTGAAGCTGAGCTGCTCAAAATGTCCGGCACCAATGATGGATGAAGATGTCTACCCACTATGTCATTATTAGAGTCCTCTACAAAATGACAGAAGAAAGGGCTGCGAATGCTGAGTTGAGTTCACCCAGAAGCTAGTTGCAGCCAATAACTCAAACTGGAAGGATCTGCAGACAAGGAAACCACACTCACTCTGGGAACAGGTGCACCAAGAAACTACAAATATTGTTTCTGAGCGGCTGAGAAATATTTTGGAAAGAAATATTTGAAAAAGACCAAATTAACTTTGCCTCTTAGGAAAAATAATATATTATTATTAATTGGAATAATTCAATTTGGAAATAAATATTTGAAAATTGCTAAATTAACTTTGTCTGTTAGGCAAATTGGCCCTTGCATTCTAGGTCAATTAGTGTAGTTCTGGCACCTCTCCAAGATCCTGCTGCACTAATATAATGTATTCCCCACATCCCTTTCTCCTCCTTCCCCCTCCCCATGAAACAACAACTACAAATGTTGTTTCTAAGCGGCATCAATCCCCATCACTGTAACACTGCAATGCTGGTTTTCAAATAATGAAAGGTAAGGTAATTATCAGGAGAATGCACTAAGCAATCATGACTATATAACACTTGGAAGGGATAAAATGATAAGGATTTTGGATAGAATGGAGGGAAGGAGTGGTACCCAGCCTATTGTACGGTCAAGGATTGAATGCCGACCCTGCAAGAAGCGAGGTGATCGCTGTATCAATCAGTCCAAGTGGTTCTTATATAATGAAAGAAATTCCCTAATTGTACACTGATTCTGATTTGTCAGAATGTGGTCCATATTATAGTCACAGCAACTATGAATTAGAATTACAGTAATTATAATATATATAATACAAATTGTAACTGACCATTAATGATAATTTGCTGTGTACTGAGATGCATCACCTATATACAGTACTGTAGTACTAATTTCTCATATTTGACCACAATGGGAAAAATGGTGTTACACAAGACATATATCTTTGATTTATGCACATACAACAAACACAGATTGATCTGGACCACTGGATGGGCTACCACAATGAATTTACCTAAGGACCACTATCACTAGAAGCCATGACAGGGAGAGGAAGCTGCTATCTAGTCAAAGGTCCTCCTCCTTCGACAATGAGGAAGATGAGTGTAGTTATATAACTAATAGTTCAAGCACTGCTTAACTGGTCTTGGATATAATGAGTAACTATAGTCCACACAGTTTTTATATTTGAGTTCTACTGTCCTCTGAGTTCACTTTGAACAATGTGTTTAACTGAGAATTGTCAGGTAGCACTATACAGAGGTCCAGATTTAAGAGGTTGCACTTTTTTTTTTTTTTTTTTCTTTATATATATATATACAAAAGTTGTTACATTCTTGTACAGCCACTAGTATGCGTAGTGTTTTGGGCAGGTCCCTGGAATACGATCCCCGCCGCGAAGAATCGAAGAATCTTATTTTTCTTGTATTTACATTGTGAGTTTTACTGTATTAAATATGGGAATTTTATATGGGAATGTTCATCATAATGAACACAAATAAAAATGTGTAAAGGCAGTGCAGTAGGCCTCTTCAAAACAATTCAAACATGGTCCCACTGTATTGCAACACATTTGTGATGTTGTGCATGTGGCAGAACATTACGAGCAGCACTACCCTCCTTACCTACTTTGAGGTTTTCCACCTTGAGGTGCTTCCGGGGCTTAGTGTCCCCGCAGCCCGGTCGTCGACCAGGCCTCCTGGTTGCTGGACTGATCAACCAGGCTGTTAGACGTGGCTGCTCGCAGCCTGACATATGAGTCACAGCCTGGTTGATCAGGTATCCTTTGGAGGTGCTTATCCAGTTCTCTCTTGAACACTGTGAGGGGTCGGCCAGTTATGCCCCTTATGTGTAGTGGAAGCGTATTAAACAGTCTCGGGCCTCTGATGTTGATAGAGTTCTCTCTCAGAGTACCTGTTGCACCTCTGCTTTTCAACGGGGGTATTCTGCACATCCTGCCATGCCTCCTGGTCTCATGTGATGTTATTTCTGTGTGCAGGTTTGGGACCAGCCCCTCAATTATTTTCCACGTGTAAATTATTATGTATCTCTCCCGCCTGCGTTCAAGGGAGTACAGATTTAGGCTCTTTAGTCAGTCCCAGTAATTTAGATGTTTTACTGAGTGGATTCTAGCAGTAAAGGATCTCTGCACGCTCTCCAGGTCAGCAATTTCTCCAGCTTTGAAAGGGGCTGTCATTGTGCAGCAGTACTCCACTCTAGAGTATAGAGTATACCCTCTCAATAATTCTCAACTTACCTTCTCGTCCTCTGCCCTGAGATATGAGTTTTGGATCAACAAATTCGGGTCTTCTTCCAGTGAGCCACGACATCAACTTCTGAACAGTGGATGCAGACTCTGGTACAAAGGTGGTAAGCCTATGACATAAATAAAAAAAATAGTATATGAATTAGACTTTTTATTAACACATGAAACATTTTGTTCAAAAATTCTAATGAGAAAGACTAATATATAAACAAGAAGATAAGTTTATGGGAAGAATTAATGCATAAAGTTTCCTTTTCTAACTTTGTATTCAACTTTGATAGCAAAATTTTTATACTGTACAGGTACTACTCATGCCTTTGTTAATGATAATCATCTATTAAAATTTTTCAGGCGTACCGTAATCAGTACAGTATTTTCATACCAGGTTTTCAGACAAATGTCGCACAATACTGCAAAACAATTAAATTATTGCAAGTATGGGAATCCCCCCCTTAAAAAAAATCCAGAATTGAATCCAGCACAGTACTTTTTTGTACTATTGTACATTAAAAAGACAATAACAAATTCTTTAACAACTAGCAACTCTTCTAAATACTATATACTGTACTGTAAATACAGTGTTTAGAAAGGTGAAAGCCACACACTCATATAATCCATACCTTCGCGTGTGTGTGCCGGGAGTGATGGGTACGTGACAGGCTGTGTAACCCATTATCACCACGTTTCCAAAAAAATCTGATCCATATATGCAGATAACTATTTGTGGCCCTAGTGACAAAGGTAAACAAATAAATTAAATGCAGAAATTGGATGCTTGAAGAAGTGGAACAATATTAAGGCTAAAAATTAATACTGTAGTATTATTGCATAAGAGCAGAGATTGCATAGACAATCAGTGTACAAAGGAATCAACTTGCTGGGAGGGCAGACTTTTTCAGGCATGCAACAACTAGGTACAGTATCTTGTATACAGCACTCGCATACCATGATCTCATCAGCTGTCCCAATAATTCCTTCTAAATAATACAAAGAGAACACTTGGAGAGACGTGGTTACATAATTATGATGGCATTAGGGCAACTTGGAAGCAACACTGAATATTTTCTGAAAGAATTTTCAAATAGATAAGATATTGAAACTAAGAAGAAAGTACGACAAAAAAAAATTAAAAAAAGAAAACAGAGCACTGAGTAGAATGAAATGCTCCTATATGAGCGGTCCTTTGATTGTTTATATAGTCAGAAAGAAAGTGTTTAAACAAGCCACTTAAAACACACTAAACCCTGATTGATTTTGAACTCCAACTTGATGCACAGTTTTTCATATGGCCTTGTCATGTTGTTTAGTGGCTAGAAAACAATGGAGAGCATACTTCATTCCACCAGAGAGAGAGAGAGAGAGAGAGAGAGAGAGAAGGAGATTCCTATCGTGCCACCAAAGACTGCAACAACCCCTCAACACACTTTTACACAATCAATGGGACCACAAGTACAGTATGTTGTTGTTCTGAAATTACGTAAGTAGCAAACTATTCACTACACCTCCACCAACAAGTGTCAGCACTATAGTCACTTACACAACAGTGGTTGGAGAGAGAGAGGTTACTCCAACTTTAGGCCCAATCAACACAAATGCACTCAGAGATCATTCCCAATGATACTCAATGCTTAATTTCTGAGCATTGTCCAATCAATTGCTTCCTTAGTAAAAAAAATAATCTAACAGAATTAAATGGAGACCAACACAAAGTACCACAACGCAGATGGAATTTGAGGATGAAGCAAACTCAAGGAATCACAGATGACAGCTCTTCCAAGGTGTGGGTCAACCTCCAGAACTTTGATCTTGGAGTATAACACCACAGAGAAAAATATAGGGCAGGTGGTATATTTTCACAGATTGTGGGCACAGGTGTAAACATTTAGTTGGTTAAATGGTGATGGGAAAACAAACCAAGCTTTGATCAGAAAAGGCCCGCAACAATAGGCAGGGTAGATAATGCTGTTCAGCAGATGATGCTCCACAAATAACCAGGAAAGTCAAAAGAGCAGCAACAGATGAGAACAACAGACGAAGGGTCAGAAAATGTTGCTCGGAATTCCAGGTAACCTTATATCAGAAGTGTGAAGACTCCTACAAACAGGTGACTAGAGGGTTTCCTGACCTGCCTCTCATACAGACAGAAATCCTGATGTGTTGACAGGTAGATACGTCATACGTCAGTCATACGTCAGGCTGCGAGCAGCCGCGTCCAACAGCCTGGTTGATCAGTCCAGCAACCAGGAGGCCTGGTCGACGACCGGGCCGTGGGGACGCTAAGCCCCGGAAGCACCTCAAGGTAAGGTAGAGAGATACAAAACATTTCCATAAGTCTGGCTACCAATTGTCTCAGCAGGAGACTGATTTGCAGTCTCCTCCTAAGAGGAGATTTGCAGTCTCCTCCTCCTAAGAGGAGGAGACTTCAAATCAGGAGTTGAGCTGGCCACATGAAAGTCATTAACAGGAGGCAGCATATAAGTTCTCTAGCTTCCCCACCATGATGAACAGCAACAAGGACAAAGAAGAGATAAATTGTTCCCCACTGATTTCAGTTAAGACATAGCACATACAGCACAGTACAACACACATGCTACTTTGCCAAGGAATGGAGCCATATAAGTAGGCAGTCTAATACAAGTATAGTCTAATTAAAGGGTGTAATTTTTTACTACATATAACCTTAAGAATGTCAGCAAGATAAAGCAGAAGCAGCACTGAAGAGTAAAGCTCAAATATGGAAAGTACAGTATCTTGGAGTAAAGATGAATGAGTGCTGTACTTACTCTTCGCAATGATTTGAACTATTTGAAGTGTATGCTTTTATCATTTATGGAAATACATTACATGTATAAAGATAACCTTATAAATCTCCCTTGAAGTTACTGTACATAAAATATTTTACAAATTTTGTTTCATACTTACATCCAAAAGGATTAGTTGACTTGAAAGTAATATCTATTGGAAAGTTCCATACAAACACCTGTCGCTCGTCATCACTGCGACGAGCGCTCTGAGAGGCACATTCTTCCAACCCCTTTAATACAAAATAAGAATTGCTGACATTAATTATCTTGTTACTTTGTCTAGTTCAAATTCAAAAAAATTACAAAGTATAAAAGTGCCAAAAATTGTAATTTATTGTCAAACTATCAAAAGTAAAGGTCAATAAACATGTTTTGTATAGTTTATTAATGTCTATCAACCTGGAAGTCTCAGTCTCTGGCAGAGGTCTTCATACTAGGCACTTGAAGAATCACCTGAGCAAACTTACATCTTAGCTCATCTATGGGGGTGTAATGTGATACAGTACTTCTTATTTTGCTTTAAGTTACAGACTGCCTTAACATTTGTTGGTTTTTCAAATGACAGATTGGTTTTTCAAATGTTCATATATGCTGAGCATGTTGCTCCCAAGTTCAAACTTCCCCTTTAGATTTTGGTATGGGGTGATAGTCCAGGGACTGGTAATAATTTGTCCTAGTTCTGTTGCTCTACTGTGCCATGTATGGTATCATGGTCAAGCATTGAGCCTGATTCTGCTGTTTGAAGTTTCATAGAGTGTAGCAGAGTATTTTTTTACCCTGATGGCCCACCTTGCTGCCTCCAGCATTGCTCTTATTGGATGCAGAATAATTTTTTACAGGCAGCTGTCTACTCTATAACTTCGGACTCACAATAAGAAAATATTGATCAAGGGTTGAAGGAGTGACCCATTCATTGTGGATCACTTCTCATCTCTTTCTAGTCATTGAGAGGGGCTCATACAAACATAGTATGGAACTCAACTTATCAGGGATCAATGTCCATATTCTCTCCTTTCTGAATGACCAACATGACTGAGGTTCACCAGGTAGTATCCAGGACCAGGACAGCATCCCTTTGCCTTCAGGGGGACTTCATACAGTAACTTGCTTTCCATTCTCCAAACTTTCTCCAATGAAGCTACGTCTTTCTGAATATGAGGTCTCCATGCCTGGATACAATAATCCAAGTGAATTATTCAAATACATTTTGAATTAAGTTAAATTAATTTAAATTTGAATTAAAGCACTAGAGATTTATACAATTGAATGACTACATTCTTTTCCTTAAAGTCAAAGGTACACTTGATTATTCCTAGAGTTTGGTTAGCTTTTTTTTACTGCTGCTACCACTTGTCTGCAACCTTCAGCAAATGATGGATTCTGACTCCAAGGTCCTTTTCTTCATCAATCTTCTACAAGGTAATGCTGTTAATTTGGTAGTTGTGATCTGGATTGTTATGCCCCACATGAAAGGTTTTGCATTTATTGATGTTTGGCATCTCTGTATTAATATTAATCGATTAATTGAGCTCTAATAATATTAATATTAATCAATATACTGTAATACAATCGATATTAATATTAATCAGTTTACTGTATCGAGATCGATTAATTATTCCCCACCTATTTAACATTTTCCAATTCCATTTTTTCATCTGATCAAATATCTAAAATCATACATACCTCCTACTGTATATAACATGCAGGTATACAATAAATAAAATATTGAAATACGTATATTTACCAGTATAACTTCCCAATCTTGTCCAGCGGTGAAACAGTAATTAAAATAGAGGTTATCACCACCCATAAACCGTCCTGTTTCAATCTGCCCGGTGACATTCACCAGAAAAACACTTGGTGCACTGACAGACATTTTCCCTGATACTGTATTGACCTGAAAAAGTCACGAAACTTAAAACATAATTATCAAGGTAAAGAATTTGCTGTCTACAGTATCTTTAATTATTAATAATTTTCTCACTTTTAAAATTAACAAAATAATTTAACAATATCTATACATGTTATACAGGGTACAGTTTCAGACTCAAAAGAAGTTATGATGTAAGGTGGTAAAAGTAAATTAAATTAATAATTCACATTGTTGGGGACAGGAAGCCTGAACTTAGGTTTTCAATGTCCCTCTAGGCTAACTAATCTTTTTTTATATACAAGAGTTCTTACATTCTTGTAAAGCCACTATCACGTATAGCATGTCAGACAAGTTCTTAATCCTAATTTTCTCTGGAATACGACCCGCCAAATCATTTAACAACCAGGTACCTATTCACTGCTGGGTGAACAGAGGCTACAGTTAAGGACTTGCACCCAGTCAATCCTCCCCGGCTAGGATACGAACCCAGGCCAAAGCACTCGCAAAACGCTAGGCGAGTGTGTTACCACTTTGCCACGGGGGCTGCTTAAACTAACCTTGTTCTCTAGATGCAACCCATAATAATTGCCTAACTCCCAGGTACCTACTTTACTGTTACATGAACAGAGACATCAGGTGAAAGAAAACATGCTCATCCCTTACTGTCGTGTCCGGAGACTGAACCCGGGTCCCCCGGTTGTGAGCCGAGGATGTAGAGCACCGAGAATGATAATTGGAAGCAGAATAGGTACTTAAGGAATGAATATTAAATAGTACAGATGGTTATTGAATTAGTCCTGATAAATTATGAAGCTTTCAAAAACTCCGTTTCCCAAAGCTATGCAGAACATCCACATCCAAGTTGGTAAGGCTGTAGTTTCGTATTGTTTAATACAGATACATTTTACATCATACATAACCAGGAGTTTCTCTAAGTTTTAAAGTTCGCACATTAACCACTTCAAAAAAGAGTTAGGTGACCCGTAGCTATCCTGAAGCCCATTCAAGGGTATAGTTTGTTGTTGTTTTTGTTGAAGGGTTAGGGGCAGCTGCAGCACAGGGCCTGTCAAACCCAGCCGTACACAGGACGGTTCGAACACATTTTCCCCATTTCGGACATACAATTTGTACGTTTCGTATATCCATATGATTGGTCTGTATTAAAACGACAATATAATGTCATTAACAGTTCACATCTTCTACCTGATAGGCATACAATTATTCAATGAACTTCAATGATGTGATGAACATAATCCGGGCTTCATAAGAACAAAGCCCGCCACCATCTCGAGGTTATCTTGAGATGATTTCGGGGCTTTTTAGTCCCCGCGGCCCGGTCCTCGACCAGGCCTCCACCCCCGTGACAGCTGACTAACACCCAGGTACCTATTTTACTGCTAGGTAACAGGGGCATAGGGTGAAAGAAACTCTGCCCATTGTTTCTCGCCGGCGCCTAGGATCGAACCCAGGACCACAAGACCAGCGTGCTGTCCGCTCAGCCGACCGGTTCCCCACAAGGAGGGAGTCTCCCGACCATTGACAATAATGTCAGCAGTCAGAGGTAATATACACGGTTCATTAATTCAAGAGTTCAATTTCAAGTACGTTTATTGACACAATAAAATACATCTCAAAGGGATAGAGTATTTTAAGCTATTTCTACCCTCCTAATTCATGAGGTAGTATTAATAGTTTAAGATATTATCAGAGCATATAAATTTGTTCCTCTTAAGTATCTAAGAGCCCTTAGTCCAGCATTCTTGGATGAAGAGTTTAATAATATTGATTCTATTGGTCTCAAGCTTTGTTATCAAACGAGTTTTTTGGGAAATTTGCCGTAGTAAAGCACGTCGTAGATATTATAATAATATATGCAGTGAGAAAATTCGCCCAAAAAACACAATACAATACAATACAATACAATACAATACAATACAATTTTATTTAGGTAAGGTACATACATACAATAAATTTTTACAAGGATTGGTTGACTTATAGGTAGAGCTAGTACATACAATGCCTAAAGCCACTATTACGCAAAGCGTTTCGGGCATGACATATAATCTAATAATAATAATAATAATAATAATAATAATAATAATAATTTTATTTAGGCAAAGGTACATACATAAAGAGATTTTACAAAGTTTGTTGGCTTTATAGATAGAGCTAGTACATACAATGCCTAAAGCCACTATTACGCAAAGCGTTTCGGGCAGGAGAAAACACTACTGACTAATGCTTAAAACTAATGGGTAAAAAGAAAAAAATGCGTTGAGTACAAATAAAAATAGGGGTAAAAGAGGGGGGAACATTGTTGAAAAAACAGCACAAATACAATTACAAATTATTACAGAAAATTACATTAAAACAGCGTTGATTTGAAAAACAAAAAACAAAACAAAAAACATACATGGGTTGACAATAGAAGGGTAAGGTAGGTTACAGGGAATTTATTAGGTGTAGCTTCGCTTTTAACTTAAACTGGTTGAGAGAGGTACTGTCTTTAACATGGTTGGGAAGGTCATTCCACATGTTCCACATTCCAAATGTTTTGTTTACCATATTTTTCTGAGTTCGAAAATATTGTCAAGGCCTTGAAACTTTTTGATATACTATACATATATTGTTTAATTAAGAAATTACTGTTGGAAAACTATTAGTTAAAAACAGCCCTCACAGTGATAATTGTGTAATTTACAAAATACCTTAAAGACTGTAATAGGCTCTATGTAGGGCAAATCATCCAAAGATTTTAAATTTAGAATTTCACAACATAAATACTTTGTAAGACATGGCCAATTGTCTAATGTTTTGTTTGCTCATTTGTCTGAAAATTCTCACCAAATTGATTGGGAGAAAGCTTTTTCCATAACGAATTGTAAAAACATTTTCAATAGGAACATTATTGAATTTGCTTTAATATATATTACAAAATAATGTAATTTGAACATTAGGAATGGTTTGTATGGTTTGTATAATTTAGATCCATGTTTGATTGATCATTTAAAAGGCGATTTGAGTACGATAATTAATACACATTTAACTCACTAATGCCTTAATATTATATATATATATATATATATATATATGTATGTTAGCAGGCAATTACCAATGGTCAGCAGGTGGCCAGATATGGTCAGCAGGTGGCCAGATATGGTCAACAGGTGGCCAGATATAGTCAGCAGGTGGCCAGATATAGTCAGCAGGTGGCCAGATATAGTCAGCAGGTGGCCAGATATAGTCAGCAGGTGGCCAGATATAGTCAGCAGGTGGCCAGATATAGTCAGCAGGTGGCCAGATATGGTCAACAGGTGGCCAGATATGGTCAACAGGTGGCCAGATATAGTCAGCAGGTGGCCAGATATAGTCAGCAGGTGGCCAGATATGGTCAACAGGTGGCCAGATATGGTCAGCAGGTGGCCAGATATAGTCAGCAGGTGGCCAGATATAGTCAGCAGGTGGCCAGATATAGTCAGCAGGTGGCCAGATATGGTCAGCAAGTTTCCAGATATAGTCAGCAGGTGGCCAGTTATGGTCAGCAGGTGGCCAGTCACGGTCAGCAGGTGGCCAGACATGGTCAGCAGGTGGCCAGTCACGGTCAGCAGGTGGCCAGACATGGTCAGCAGGTGGCCAGTCACGGTCAGCAGGTGGCCAGACATGGTCAGCAGGTGGCCAGACATGGTCAGCAGGTGGCCAGACATGGTCAGCAGGTGGCCAGTCATGGTCAGCAGGTGGCCAGTCATGGTCAGCAGGTGGCCAGACATGGTCAGCAGGTGGCCAGTCATGGTCAGCAGGTGGCCAACAGTAAGGAACTCCTGCTCGCCGCCTCCGGGCATTTTATGGGCATATACACTTTAGGCGCCATTGATCCCGAGTCCCGCCCGGTACTGTGGCGGTGATGCCGCGCCGACCCGCCTCCCGTCACCCGTCACTGCCACCCACCCGCCTCCCGTCACCCGTCAGCAGGTGGCCCGCCATGGTCAGCCGTCACTGCCAGTCACCCGCAGCCCGTCACCCGTCACTGTCGTCGACCCGGTGGCCCGTCACCCGTCAGCTGTCGTCGACCAGTCACCCGTCAGCAGGTGTCGTCGACATGGTCAGCAGGTGGCCAGACATGGTCAGCGAGGTGGCCAGTCATGGTCAGCAGGTGGCCAGTCCGGTCAGCAGGTGGCCAGACACCCAGCATGGCCGTCACCCGTCAGGTGCCAACCACCCGCCTCCCGTCACCCGTCACTGCCACCCACCCGCCTATACACGTCACCCGCCACTGATCCCGACCCGCCCGCCTCCCGTCACCCGTCATGCCGTCGCCGACCCGCCTCCCGTCACCCGTCACTGCCACCCACCCGCCTCCCGTCACCCGTCACTGCCACCCACCCGCCTCCCGTCACTGCCGTCAACCCGTCACCCGTCACACCGACACTGCTACTGTGGCGGCCTTAATAACTCTCCAACAGTTGATGGTCGTTTAGCTCAACGCCAAACCACTAAACAACCTATTTCCCACAAATTTGGGTTTGCCCAAATTTGGAAAACATCAAAATTGAAGTTTTGAAAATTGATGGAAAATTTAAAACTTGAGTGTACAGGGAGTGTCATAACATTGTATTAGTATTTCCCATAACAGTTCGACAATGTGCTGTAATGTACCTGAGCTGACCAAAACTTTACCCAAAGCCTCTTATAATTCAGCTCATATTACAGATAATTAAACAGCATCCTACAGTGTTATTGGTAGGGACAATTGACAGGAGGAGGATAGGGAAGGGGGGGGGGGAGTGAGAGGCTACTGTCTCCCTACCAGACAGGAGGGGGGATAGGGAGAGAAGGAGGGGTTAGCTAGACAGGCCACCACTATGGGACTGTATCAACAACAGAGACCAAACATGGTGACCAGAGTTCAGAGTGTGCGTAAGGGATAGGCAGCAGCCCTCACGTCCTCCAACTCTAGCCTCCTCCCCCGTCTGGGTATCCAGTCTCCCCTCCCCCAACCCTCTCCTCTATACTCTTTCAGCTCTTTCTACCATCTTTCATATTCCTCCTCCTCCTGTTTCTTGGCCTCACATCCTCTCAATCTCATATCTTCCACCATTGTCTCTTTTGGTTTGATCCCCCATTCTTCCCTACCTATTCTACCTTCCCTACCTACCTCAGCCTGGTATCCTTCTCTCACCTTTACTATTTCAGGAGACCTATCGGCCTGATATCCCCCTATTTCATCCATCTATCTCTTGGAGCAGATCACCGCTCCTACCCCCTACTCTCCATTAAAAACTAGTTATCCTCCATCCATCGCGACTCTCCCCCAATAATCCATTTCGTCCCTCCCTTCAACTCCAGTCATCGCCAAGTTTTATTACTTCCCCTCTAAGCCAAACATCTTCACGTCTCTCCTCTCCTCTTTGTTCGACCCTCCTCCAAGTCCCCTCATCCCTTCCCCCTATCCTCCGAGCCAGACTAGCCGCATCACCTCTCCCGGTCCCCTCTCCGGCGGGTAGCCTGGCAACATTGGGAGAAACAATAGTGGGTAATGAAGACCCAGCGACCCGTCGCCTCCCACAGCTCTCTGCTAGACGCTGTGGTCCCGTCCTCCGCTCACTACAGCCACGTCTCCCGCTCCCGGTGGTTGGTACCCCTTGGTAGGAAGGAAGGAAGGAAGGAAGGAAGGAAGGAAGGAAGGAAGGAAGGAAGGAAGGAAGGAAGGAAGGAAGGAAGGAAGGAAGGAAGGATGGACAGAAGGAAGGATGGACAGAAGGAAGGAAGGAAGGAAGGAGCAGCAACATAATAGGTGGAGGAGGTGGGAGAGGGCGGCAGTGCACGGGAGCGCCAGCCACCGCTGCTAATGAAACATGGGTTACACGCCCCCAAGGCTCAGTTTTACGCACTGTGGTGTAGGCTTCTGGCATAGGATTTGGGGTTATGTCCACTCCCAGGTATTTCTCCTGTTCTGACGGAAGAATTAGTTTTTTCTTCATGGTGTAGAGTTATTCTGGTCTGACCACTCCTGTTCCAGTCTTCATAACTTTGCATTTGGCTGGGTTAAATTCTAGCAGCC